GTCGTATTGTGGGGGGGGGGGGCTTGGCTCGAGCGTATTTATAATACGACTTCTATGGGAATTATTGCGCTACCTTACAATCAGCGATTCCGTGTCGGCATATCTGCGCCCCGTTCCCACCGCTACTCACCATGAGCGTATTCCCAAGTGGATCTAAGCCACCTGATCGATGTCCATTTCCCATCAACGTGAGCACATTCTTCCAGAGTATCGTGTTTTCGAGTATAGGGTCAACAACTACGACACGCTTAGCTTCAAACTCCATGCCTTGACCAAGTATGACTACCGCTGGGAAGAGCATCATCTGTCGTACTCGGATTAGCCACGGCACAAGATGGGTGAGTATAAATCCCCGGGTACCGCGACGAAGAAGTTCTAAATCACAGAAAATTCCTACCACACTATACCCCAAGACAGTGGCCAATCACTGCCCAATTGACGATGATGATATGCCTCCAAAGACTCGCCATCTCGGCCATTGTATTGAAGCTAGTTGTGGCTCAAGATACAACCTTGCTTCCAACAATACATTCAACAGGATGGAATTCCAGCTTCGAGCTTAGTGCTGAGCAGCTCAAGTTGGCCAACCTGACAACCGATTATGGTGCTATAATCAACACCATCATCAATTTTGATAGGTCCCAGCTTGCCAATGGCGGGGCACATCAGGATGAATTCTATGATGTCCAGAATTTGCCGAAAGATCAATGGCCTACAGAGTCCGGAAGAACAATCAAGCTTCAGAAGTTCACCGATCCTTCGTCCTTCTCCATACCTCCAAAGACCGCCATGTCTCGGATCATATACAGTACCACCAATCTCAATGGGACTTTGATCCCTGCTTCGGCCTACATACTTTGGCCACATCACCCAAAGAGTTTCAGAGGCGGCCGCAACGCTTCGGCTTCGTCGGCACCAGTTATTCTATGGACACATGGAACCTCTGGCTTCTATGCCGATGGAGCTCCCTCGACGCATCGTGGCCTTTTCTACGAAGACTTTGTACCGTTTACTCTGGCCGAAGCTGGATACGCTGTTGTGGCTCCAGATTATGCCGGGCTTGGGGTTAGCACTTCTTGGGACGGGACCTTCATTCCGCACCAATACTTTGCTTCCGAGGCCGGTGCTGGTGACGCACTTAACGCTTTGAGAGCGGCCCAGGAGTCATTTCCTAAAGAGCTTTCAGATGACTATGTGGTTTTGGGTCACAGTCAAGGTGGCGCTGTTGCCTGGACCCTGTCGGAAATTCTGGCTAGAAAGAATCACAAGTTCCAAGATGTTGTAAAGCATCATCTTGGTACTGTATCGTTGGCTCCACCAACTGATATATTTTCACTGAGCGCTGGAATTGGGCCCTTTTTGGCGTGGATTGGCAAAGACCTCGACCAAATATTCCCGACTTTCAACCTCAGCGACTGGCTGACACCGCTTGGCACCAAAAGAACCAATCTTTCGAACCAAGTTGAGGGATCGCAGATAGTGTCAAGTTACTTGTTGAGTCCAGAAGAAGAGATAGTCCAGCCTGATTGGAAGGAGACCTGGTCTGTTGAGGCCTTTGGGAAGCTTGCCAACCCTGGAAATATGGATTTCAAGGGACCGATGCTTGTTCTACAAGGAATGGATGATCCCGTCGTGACATATAACATGACGAATAATGCAGTGGACAAGACTTGCAAAAATCACCCCAATGACCTGGAGTTTCTGAACATTCCAAAAGCGAACCACTTCGGTGTCATCAATGCTGGTAAACAAAACTGGTTGCGGTGGATCGAGGATCGATTCGCTAGCCAGCCTTTGGCCAGGCCTGGTTGTGTCAAGTCCAATTTGGAAAGTTTGATGCCCCAGGAATATTATCAGCTCACTGCCAATTCCTTCGTCTTATGGGCCGGAAAGCCGCAGTGGTCCTATGAGATCCCTACTGCTGCATGATTTGGAGCACTGCGGAAGGAGTAGATATAGTGGATTTTGATGCGATAATTTATGTGGCGAAATCAGTAGTAGTTATATTAGAGAGAAGTAGTAAACAGAATGAGTTTTATGTGTCGCATTTTTGATTATTGTCAATAGTTCCAAGGTTCAAATAACTAGAAGTTGTAATAAGGGCCTCGGGGCGTGTTTCATTTGCATCGTAACCCGGACATATCCATGAATCTTTTAAGCGACTTCGTGTTCATTATTCTATCATGTTATACTAGTGGATAAACTACATGAAATTAGCACCAACCGTCTTTTTGGTAGCTCTATATATCCGGCATCAACTCCATATTGACCAAGTACATGCTCTCCGGCCACCACGTTTCCATTGTATCCGGAGGCTGATTGAGCAGTTCCTGAGTTTTCATCAGTGACACAATCTGACCAAGTTCCCATCGGCCAATACCGCCAATCCACCACACACCATCCAATAACATGACTAGAACTAGCCAATGGGCGAATATGTCCATGGCTAGGAGATGTGTTGTATCGAGAGGCTGCATTTCACCCTTGGGCGAACCACGTGCCACCCAATCCCCAGTGTAGGCCTCAACAGACGATGAATCGAGCACCGACTGAACAAGATTGAGATACTCGGTCGGTGCCTCATTCAAGAAGGACATAATTGTTCGTCGAAGTGCCTTTGGGGCTGTCATTGAGGTGACACTGAGCATGTAATTTGCGACCCAAGGCGAGACTTGAGAATATTCACCAGATATTGTGGGTGTATCGTTGACTGTATTTGATTTATTTTTGATATTTCCTCCTGATAAAGCAGAAAACGCGCACTTTTCAAGTGTTGGTAGAGTATTCAAGCAAGCGTCGAGATCTAGATTGTGAAGTCTGAGACTTTCTTGACTCCGAAAAGAATCTGATACAGACTCCACTTTCCTGCGCAGCGATTCAAGAGCTCGACCGTATGTAGATGTAACTAAAGGAATGAATAGCCTTTTTGTATTTTCGGAAGGGCCACTCTGCGGTGTCAAGATAGTTGATATCGGATGTGGCGATGTAAATACGGTCGGGCTGATGGTGACATTTCGATTCATATCTGCATTCAAAAGACCACTGAGAACTGCGCTAGCAGCTGTGTGAGCGGCACGGGTAAATGTAATCCACTGTGAGTGTTGCGGAAGCACATCATTGGGCAATCCTTTCCCATTTCGTCTTGCAATCGCGGCAAGTCGAACTCGAATAGAGTGGCTCGCAGAAGCGTATAGTACCATTAAGGCCGCGTTTGCAAGGACGTTGTCATACCAACTTGAGTTTGAAACTGCCTCTTGTATATACTGGAGTGATGCCCTGTGATGGCTTTCGGCAAGCTCAAGAAGTCGTTGAACCTCCATGACGGTCTGGTCCGCCAAAGGAGTCTGCGTTGTGTTAACGATATCGTGAGATTTGCAAGCTGCTGCCAAGGCTATTAAAGATGACATCACAGGCTTGCTATTGAAAGCAAGATTTGGTATTCCCACAGAAAGGGCATAGAGATCGAGATCATCGAAAGGAATAGTTCGGCTTGTGTGTGCAAGATAGCGGCTCAGGAGGCTGAGCTCTGTCGCATCGAGGTTACCAGGCGATTCTGAGCCCATTGGAATCACCTTTCCATTCTTGTTAAAACTTGGAGATGAAGAGGACAACGAGGTTGGAGAAGAACCACGGGGCGAAGATTCAGGGACCGAAAGATGATCGCTCGAAAGCGCCAAGGGCGCCTCTGGCCCAGCAACACAGGGATCCGGAGAGCAAGGGTATAGTAACTTGGGAGCTGACACATAATCCAACTCATGGTCTTCTGATGTTCTTGGACTATTGCTCAGGTATTGATACTGGCAAGTATATTCTTTTTTGGCGCATCTTGAGCAATTTGGTTTCGCCTCGTCACACTGTGAGACTTGGTTAGAACATTGTGATGAACACATTATTTGTGAGATTTATCTTGCCTTCTTTCTTTGCTGCTTGCATCTGAGGCAGCCACCCCTAGATTTTGCGTGTGCTCTCCGAAGTCTGAAGTCTGTCATGTTGCCGTCACCCGCACAGTAGATCTTCGAATCTCGTATCTTCATAAACAGCGTCCTTCCAAGAGGTTTGCAGATGACTTGAAGAAATTGGGTCTCATTAACGCAAGGACGCTCGGAGATTTATAAGTTATAACTCAAGTTAATTTGAAATACTGTTCCCATGGACTCGTTCCCGTTTTTTGTTTCCTGGGGCTGAGATGGGAGGCTGATGCTGCCAAGCCCCCGCCCCAAGCGGATGATTTGGAATCACTACGGAATACCGTCAGCAAAGCCCAAAACCTGGAAACATCATCCCTAACCCATTCAGGTTTTAGGTTCATAATCAACGCCTAGGTAAACTGTCATAAGATAGCGGCGAAAATGCTTTTCGATTCAAATCTGACATTTAACAATGTTCAAATGCATTTGATACTTGTACAGTCACAGTATGCAAGTACACAACTGGCATGCTTCAACTTGATAGGCTTAGAGGGGTGGCCTGATGGTGGAGCATGCCGATTAATCTGCAAACTGGCATGCATCGACATCACATGACTCCCTGCGATGCTGTATTTGAACAATGCCCCTCCCTCATTTCAATTCCTCCTTTCTTTCGATTTTCATAGATTTCTTTTTAATCAGCTGAGAATGCCAGCCTGCCATGTGAAGAATCAATGCTCTGCTCAGAGCTCCTGATTCTCCCGATCGACTCTAGTGGCACGTGCAGCCCGCACCTCACCGATGGCCCCGAAGGGTTCCGTAATTCCCCTTGAGGTATCAAGGAAAACTACACTTCCATAAGATGGCCACGGGAGCACGAGAATCCGAGATGGAGTGGGTTGTGGTGGAGCATCACGGAAGGGTTCGTTTGCGGTCCCGATCCGACTCCTTCCTTCATGAAGTCATCCATCTGTAAGCGGAAGTCAATAATCAGTAAATTGTTCCCTGGGCTTTAATACTCTGGAAACTCCCTGGAATTTTGACTCACCATGTAGCTGTGATTTCGATTGACAGCCAATATCTCCAGTAACCATGCCCCTTCGATTGCGCGCCATGCGCGCCATGACCAGGCCTGGCGTTGTCTCTTCCCAGCATGCTCCTCTGTGCAGGTCTCCCAAGCCACATAATTCTGGGCCGACTGAACGCAAAATCCTCGAAAGATGTTTCGCGACACAAGTTGAACACTCCGATGCTGGTAATCAGTCTGATCACCAGAAAGAGCGCGTTGTCATTCTTGGATCCGGATGGGGCGGATATACCATGTCACGCCGACTATCACCCAAAAACTTCTCGCCAATCATCGTCTCACCCCGTTCATACTTCGTTTTTACTCCTCTCCTTACAGACACGGCCAGCGGATCATTAGATTTCTCCAACATCGTCGAACCGGTACGAGACCCTGGCGCCAAGGTCGATTTCATTCAAGCCGCAGCTCGATCCGTCGATCTCAAGAAGAAAACTATACTTTGTGAAGCAACAGTGGTGAAAAGTGGTGTCACAGAGTCGCCGCGCACCCACGAAGATGAAAGGGAAACCGAAGAGGGCCCGGAGGCCAGCAACAAGCAGCCGATACAATCGCGCCGGCTGTGGGAGAAAGGCGAAACATTTGAAGTTCCATACGATAAGCTGGTCATCGCCGTGGGCACGGTGAGTCGCACTTTTGGTACGCCGGGAGTCCGACAGAATGCAATGTTCTTCAAGGATATCGGCGATGCCAAACGGGTGAAGCGTCGTGTACGCGAATGTTTCGAGCTAGCTGTTTTGCCGACGACAACAACGGATATGAAAAAGTGGCTGCTTCATTTTGCCATTGTTGGTGCCGGTCCAACTGGCACCGAGCTCACAGCTTCACTACGTGACTTCATCTACAAGGATATGATCGCGCTCTACCCGGGTCTCCAAGGGCTTCCGAAGCTCAGCCTCTATGACGTCGCGCCGAAGGTACTGTCTACGTTCGATGAATCGCTTTCTCGGTATGCAATGAAGACGATGAGAAGTGAAGGAATTGACATAAAGACCTCTCATCATGTGAAGGGCTTACGCTGGGGTCCACCTGGTGCGCTTCCGCCTTATGAAATGGACCCAAAGCGCTGCTTAACCCTCACCACCGAGGAGGAAGGAGAAGTCGGCGTCGGCATGTGCGTGTGGACAACAGGCAATGCTATGACCAAATTGGTAAGCCAGTCGCTGAATGAAGTGAATGAGTTTCCCGAGAAGTCTGTGTTCAAAATGGACCGAAGCTCTGGTGCGACATCTGCAGAGCAATCTTGGGGATTCAAGAAAGTCCCAAAGACGGGGGCGCTGCTCGTCGATGGCCACCTGCGGGTTCAGCTACAAAACGACGCCGGAGATACGGCTGTATTGAATGATGTCTTTGCCCTGGGGGATAATTGTATGATTGAGACTGGTGCACCCCCAGCAACCGCCCAAGCAACATTCCAAGAAGCCAAATGGCTCGCGTCCCATCTGAACAAGGACGACCTGACTCACACGTCCCCCTTCTCATTCCGCAACATGGGGACACTAGCCTACATTGGAAGTGAGAAGGCATTGATGCAGATCCCCCACGATATGCACGATGTCAACAAGCGCAAAAGTTATCTCCCCGAAGGTATCACCGGGCGGATGGCTCGGTTAGTTTGGAACGCTGCGTACATCACCATGAGCATCAGCTGGCGCAACAAGATCCGAGTGGCATTCAGGTGGACTTTGAACAGATTGTTTGGACGGGATGTATCTCGGTTTTAAAGAACTGTAGATGATGAAACAAATAAACTCTCCTACGATATCTGGTTTCCTTCCTGCTACATACGTAGGCAATTATGGTGAGGAGGCAATTGATGATTCTATTCAACTGTAGGGTACGTGACTATCTAGGTCCTCCTTCCACGTGACCGTCACACTTCCTCGACGTTTTTTTTTTTTTTTTGAAAAAAAAAGTAATAAATTGAATAAATCAAATAAATTAACCAAAAGACTTCTTTGAACAAGAACACTTTATTCAAATTCACCATGAAATTTCGATAAGCATGTTCAAAGGGTCCGAGTCCCGCACATATGGGCGTCTTCAATCGAATCGGCAGTTCCGCCTGGGCCGAGGCTGGTCTTCTCCGCACTCCCCGCATCCGCCAGAGTTATTTCAATGTTGCATTCCGCAACCTTCAACCTTCACTTTCACCCTTACCCATCATGGCATCTCAACAGCCCCCTTACGTGGCAATCGCCCAGCGCAAACAAAACGAATTGGCTGCCTCCATTCCCTCCGAATGGCAACTTCCTACCGAACTCATTCCTGAGGGCATGCTCTCGCCCGCGGACTCTGTTACCGAAGGCCCAAAGCGATATGGCCGAGTGAACGTGATGGAGATACCTCGCATTTGCGGTATACTCACATCAAAGGAACTAGATATTACAGAGAACTACGATGTCCGAGGGTTGGTTTCTGCGATGACAGAAGGTCAATTGAAGTCGGAGGAGGTTACCCGGGCATTCTGTAAGGTGAGAATTCGAGACAAATGCTCTTAACTTATCCGGAAAAACAAATCGGCTGACCTATTTCAAAAACAGAGGGCAGCCATCGCCCATCAACTTACACGCTGTCTCACCGAACCATTATTCGATCGGGCCTTACGTCGCGCACAAGAATTGGATTACTCACTGCGGCAAACGGGCAAACCCGTCGGACCCCTGCATGGTCTGCCGGTTTCCGTGAAGGATACATTCAACGTGAAAGGAGTTGACTCGAGCATTGGGCTATCTGCCTTGGCATTCAAGCCTGCCACAGAGAATGCAGCGCTTGTGGACCTGCTACAATCTCTCGGTGCCATCATCATCGCCAAGACGAACATCCCCCAGACACTGGGGACTCTCGACAGTTGCAACCATCTCTTTGGACGAACTCTCAATCCTATAAATCGACAGTGGACAGCTGGAGGCAGTACTGGAGGTGAGGGCGCATTACTCGCGATGCGAGGATCCATGGTCGGCTTCGGCACAGATATTGGTGGCAGCATTCGCGTACCAGCGATGTGTCAAGGAATTTATGGCTTCAAGCCGAGTAACGGTCGTGTTCCATATGGTGGCCAGGAGAGCGGCCAACTAGAGGGCAAAGGTCGGATTGCTCTGCAACCTGTGGCTGGCCCGTTGGCCCGCTCGGTCGCGGATCTTGGAGCTGTGATGGCGGAGATTGTTCCCCGAGCCGAATTATTCGGCGAGGATTGCATTCCTGGTTCCTGGCAACCTTTTTCTGTACCCCAATCCCTGACTCCCCCACGTAACTTCACCATTGGCATCCTGAAAACGGATGGCCTTGTCACACCACTTCCGCCGATTGCTCGTATTCTGGATGAGGTAGCAAGTCAACTGCGCCGGACGCCAGGTGTCGAAGTTGTCGACGTCCCTCTGCCGGCTGCCTTGCCAAAATGCCAGGGCCTGGCCGGTCGCCTTATGGGCGTCGATGATGGGTCGAGCATGCTAGATAAAATCGAGAGCATGGGCGAGTCTCTTATACCTTGGCTACAGGGTCGCATGAAGCGCGGGAAGGCTCTTACCATCGATCAGCTAGCTCGGCTACAGGCTCAGCGTGCTGAAGTCGAATTGGAAATGTTGAAGATGTGGACTCTATCTTCATCCAATAAGGGCCGGCGCATCGATGCTATCATCTGTCCTATTGCACCGCATCCAGTTCCACAAATGGATCGCTACAATGCTGTGGGATACACCTCCACCTTTGTTTTGCTGGACTACCCTGCTGGTACTGTTCCCGTGCGACCTTTCGTTGAGTCGGATTTGGAACTTGGGCGGGAGATGGACGCACCCGTTCTTGGGAGCTGGGATAAGGCGAATCGACAACTATGTAAGTGCTGATATCGTCAATGTGTTATCCTGGAAGCCAGATACTAACATCTTACCGCAGGAACGAGAAGACTGTCGATCGCCGCGTGTACCTGGATTCGCCACTTAGCGTTCAGGTTGTCACTCCCAAGCAGCACGACTACCAACTCTTTCAAGCCATGGAGATCGTCGACCGGGCGGTACAGGGAAAAACCGGCTTGCCCAGCGCAAAATTGTAAATAGTTTATGATCTATGTTTGTAAATACTACCATAATGGTTCAGGTCATTTGAACAGCACTATGGTTCAGTGCAGTAATTCGGTATCGATGCCAGTTATAATGAGGTATCAAAACCATGCTTGTTATTTTACGCCAAGAGTGGGTTGATTTCAATGCTAGGCCTATAAATCATCAACATATCAATCAGGATACTAACTAAAGTCTACCCTTGAGGACTGCACCGCCGTCAGTTGCAATAACAGCCCCGTTCAAATGACTTGAAGCACGCGAAGACAAAAACACGACTAGTCCTGCAATATCCTCGGGTCGACCCAAACGGCCGTTGGGTGAGTACTCTTGCAGCTGCTCTAGCCCACCCTTGAGCTCGATCAAGCCACTGGCCATCTTCGAGGGGAAGAAGCCCGGCGCAATGGCATTGGTCAGGATATGCCGAGGCCCCAACTCAACAGCCAGGTTCTTTGCCAGGTGAATGGCAGCAGCCTTAGAGGCGGAATAGCTTGGCGTGGCGTTCTCTCCAACAGTTCCAATGCCAATACCCGCCACGGAAGCGGTGACAATCACGCGAGCGGGATCCTCGAGCGTTGCCTTTGCTTCGAGGAGCGGAGCAAGTCTATGAGTTGGTGTTAGATTAGAGAGGCCAATATCATTAACGTGAAAAATGGAGAGACGTACTTTTGGATTGTGTAAAAGATGCTCTTGACATTCAAATCCATCACCTTGGAGAACATCTTTTCCGGGTGGGTATCGAACTTCTCACCCCAGGTTGCACCTGCATTGGCGAATAGGATATCGACATGATCTGTTGTTTTACCAATTTCTGCAACCAGCCTATCGAGATCTTCCATGCGGGAGCTATCGGCAGGAACAGAGATGGCCTGAGCTCCGGGTCGCTTGGAAGGCAACGCGTTAAGCGCCGCGACAGCTTCGTCGCAGGCATCCTTCTTTCGGGAAGTGATATACACCTTGGAGCAACCAGCTTGTAGGAGACTAACATTTAAGTTAGGACCATCCAGGTAAAAAATATTTGCTTCGTGGGTATTGTGTCTTTGAACATCTCAATCCAGTGTTGAACTTACCCCGAGGCAGCATGAAGTCCCAACCCACGTGAACCGCCAGTCACGACGGCTACCTTCCCCTCGAGGGAGAAGATATTCGAGAAATTGGTCAATTGAACCTGGTCTGCGGCCGACATGATTTCCTTGGTATGTAGAGATAGATGCAGGAGGGGAGGTGTTCAAGTTAGGATGAAGTTCGCATCCGGGCCAGGGTATATAGTACACCCGCGCCGATTGACCGAGGCTCGTCTGGTTACATGCCGAACCCCGCAACTATGTGGATTAGTAATCTCTTCCCGCTGGAGAATATTTTAGGAAACAAACCATGTAGGTTTATAGTTAAGCAAGATTATATTTTATGGTATTCATAAAGCCACAATTCCAATGACTGGAGAACCAGATACGCTGACCTATTCGGGGTGGGTTTGCTTTGATGGCTGAATAGTGACGTTTATGAGAAAAGTTCGACATGCTGAACCATGTCCTAGTAGCATAACATCAACTGGATTTTGGTTTGGTCCAATTATTTTGGGTCGAGTGAATGCTAGCGCTCGTAGAATTTCAGTTTTTAGATTCAAATTAGATAATGAGGTAATCGTCCTGAGACTCTCGTGCCTTCGTATCCGTCTGTGAAGAATTAGACATGGTAAAAATTTAGGACAGGGGGAATTTACAAAGGAGGTCCATAGGATATTGCGAGAGTCCCATTTTGGCTGATTCGCACGACTTTCCCAGACTTTGTGCAGTAACATTTTTGGGAGATCATTACTGAAACCGGCAATAGACCTAATGGCATCAAGTCTTAGCAAGATGTAATGGCGTGAATGTAAGGAGAGGGTATCGGTTCCTGCAATAAAGAGTGGAAAAATAGCCAAGTCGATCAGGCTGGATGGAATCTCGGATACCGCATCCAATACAGCTTCCACTGACTCTCGGATGATTGATACCTCGGCGGGCTGCTCGGGCGACAAAAGCCGGGATGTATAGAGAAGAAATGCATGTCGGAAGCTTTCGTATACTGCACCCCAATTGGACCCATCATCTGGCAAGTTCGAATCCGGCAGCTGCCATGAATTTATACTCAGATATACACCCATCAGGAGCTCTTTGTATTCGAAAAGATCCATATTCTCCATCTGATGAGCCTTTGCATACTCTAGAGCATTCCCTACCACGAGGAACAGCTCCCTCGGACATCCATTTACCTGCTCAAACTTTGATGTGCTAAGAGCAACAATTTTTCTGCGTAGATCTGATGAGACGCAAAGCCGTTTCGGGTCTGAAAATGATCGTATTATGTCCAGCCTGATAAGAAGTTAGTGATGTTTTACTCAATGATTTCGAATGCCGACCATGCTAGATTTCCAAGAAAAAAGATAGCCCGTTCGTCCTTAGCTGTTAAAGTCTCTGATAGTCGTAGTTGGTTACAAACTGACATAGCGCCCGTAATATGGGCCCCATGCGTTGAGATACCCGATTCACAGATCTTCATCCAAGATCAGAAACACGCTCTTGAGGCTCTCTGAAGAATCAAAGCAAAGGGGGAACATTGAAGACCTGGAGTACTGACATCGTGGAGGAGGAGAAGTTGGATTGTGGCGAAAAGTCCATCTCTCTCATTCTCATGTGATTGCGGGGATATAACATTCTGGATGGTATGTATTAAGCAATTAATACACCTGAGTCGATATTCATCGGCAACTTCACGAAGGTCATCCTCTCCGATTGTAAGGGCTCTATGACAAGCGGAAAGACCGAGCACCGCGTAAAGTACTCCGAGCTGCTCATATGCCAACGGTAGGACGTATGATCGGTACGGATTGTTGGTGTCGGCCCCGGAGAGCATGATTTGATGGGGACATATCACTTGGTCGTCTGGAAAGTTAAGCAGTCAGTATAGAAATTGATTTTAGTCTTTTGAGAGAGCGAAAAATACAGTGTGTTAGGAGTGACTGCGTCCGGGTCATTATGAGCAAGTCATTTAGTTCCGAGGTGTGGCTAGGATGGCGCGACGCAGGGCTGCTATTCTCAGATAATGAATCAACCATCAGGATCAAGATCCCAAGATACAGATTCGTGTAGATCCGCCTCGGAGCTAGTCCCGTTTCTCGAGCCCTCATTTGTTGCCTCTGAAGAATTGGCCTCATTGGGAGATTCCTCTTGGAACCGAATGACATGATTGAAGATTGTTGATTCGCGCCTTTGAACGCTTTTTTTGCTCGTGGAGGTCACGCTGCGGAACCGGAATTTCTCAGGATAACCTTTACATTCCAGTCCTTTGGCAGCACATCGCCTACATGTAGGTCTTGTTCGGTCACAGCGCCGACATTTTTCGCGGCAGGTTGCGCACACCGGATCTGTCCTCTTCATTTTTTCCACAGTACTTTGAAAATTTCGGCGCACAAATAGTTTCTCGGCATTTATGCTTGTAGAACTGCATAAATGATAGCGCGAGAATGTGGAAGCCAGAAGCTTTCAGGTTTGGCATTTTTGACTTCAGTTTGAGATAGCATTCCACGTGATGTGATATAGGTCGGTCGCCAAACTTGAGAAGAATGCGGGAAATGTGGGATGGGGCAAAGATAGTGGCTCTAGAGTCATGAAAGCTTCACCCCATGGTACGTATCTTCATACGTAGGGTTTCGTATGGGAGGTGAGAACAAATAAGGTGGAGAATCGTGGCCAAATTGGCTCTAGAATGCGGCGTCACCTGCCTATTTAGGTTGAAGGGGCCGCATATCATGACTAGCTTTGTCCAATGGGATGGTACGGTGGATACTGTAATTTAGAGGAATCGTCTAGGTGGAGTTACGGAGTAATCGCGTTATCTTTCGAGTAGCGTACGCATTTTCCAATTCTAGTTAACCCTCCCTTCCCCATACTACCCTGATAGGACGAGCCCGACTAATTTGATAATACCTACCTAAGTGGCAACTACCCCCGCGGATACGCAAGGTATTTATCGGTTATGAGACGTATATTTCAGTAATTCTTCTCACTAATGGTTTAATGCTACGTAATAGCCAATGCGACCAGAACAAAAGCCGCCCGCATATGATGGGTCTATCATATAATAGCTTTCTCCTGGAACCACACTGGTGGGAGTAAAACATACTTGTAACTTAATTCTGATGGAAACTAGGGTTATAACAATCCGAGAAAAATGTATAGATCAATCCTGCTCAGCTTGCTTCATCGCCTCCCAATCGATACGCGGCCCTTCAAAAGAGGCCCTGCCAGAGAAAAGCCAAATTGAGTTGATGATAACAAAAACTCCCACCAAAATCACAGGGGTATAGTTCATGGACTGGAGCGAGACAGGGAGATTTGGAGGCATACAAATCAAAACACCTAGCAGAACAATCCAGAGGGTCGAAAATATGTTGCAAAATAACCCCAACCAGCCAAGATTGACCGGTCGACGAGGCAGAACATTGCGGCCACGAACCAGCAAGATGCTTTGAGGTACCGTATATGATATGTTCAGGAAGAGGACAGCCGATGTGATAATTGAATTGAAGGCTGTTGTTGACGCCAAATAAAGAAGCCCATAAATACAAGTAAAGATGTATGCGGCTATTGTTGCATTGAGTGGAAACTGCAATTTGGGATGAATACGAGAGAAGAAGTTCGCGAAAGGGACCCCATTCTGTGTGTAATGTTAGCTGCTATAAAGAAATCCAGGGAAGATAATACTTACATCTCGGGCAAATGCCCATGCAATGCGTCCGGCGGTCACCCACTGAGATGGCAGACACGCTGAGCTTTTTGTTAACCGCATGAGTCTTCGGGCTTAGAAGTAGTAGGATCACTCACAAGTGTAGATCACGAATAAGAGAATAAAGAGACCAAGAGTGACGTTTCTACTTCCGGTTCTGTGAGAAGGTGAGTTAGAAATAAGCCATGAGTGTGGTCAAGCCGGAAACCCACACTTGATAGATTAACTCAAGACTTGGAAGTGGTGCAGTTCGTACGGCATCCATATCAATTTGAAATACCATGAGAACGACAAAAAGAGAGAATGCGGTAAAAAGGCCAATGAGCATAGTCAAGATCATGAGTTGAGGAATGCGCTTTCCTGGCCTGGGCATCTCCTCGGAGATATGGATGACTTTGTGATGGGGTTAGCTTTGGCCGCAGGACGTCTCAGAGAGCACCAACCTCCATCAATACCGCCAAAGGCGTACATGGAATTACTAATACTGAGTAGCCATGCTGTACCCGGACTCCAACCACTGTTTCCCAGTCCGGACTCCACCAAGAAGGAAGTCGGCATCCGACTCTTGTGCATTACGAGTGCAACAATGAAAAATATTAGATACCCAGCCAATGAAAGATAGAGAGACAATTGAGCCATAGCATGCATTCTAGCAGAGAAGAAAACCGGAATCACTAGACGGATTAGTTGTGAAAAACCAGCAGTTTGTGTTAAAGACTCGGAATGAGAAGACCTACTGGTGATTGTGGAAACAGCCACATATATACAATATGTTTGCCATTGGTTTCCAGCATAGCTAGGATAGCAAAAAGCCACAATACCGTTGAGAACTGCGGCCCCGAGAGAGATACCCGAGCATCTTGACACGTGTTAGTTGATATGGCAGTGAGAGAAGGGAGATAAATGTTATCATACGTCACAATCCACCAGGCAAGCATCGATATCCAACCAACAGTGTACGCAGCGTAATTTCTCGTCTTTGCGGGACTGAGGATATAGCAGAAATGGTATTGTCCCCCACTTGACTTTTTACTTGTTAGAACTTCGATTTACTCTCGATGGTGGGATCCATACCGGATAGGCAGAAGCTAGCTCTCCTAGCCCGATAGCGACAGCGCACTGGGCGAAGAACGCAACTAGTAAGCTGAAGATGCATGTCTGTGGACCTCCATAAATCAATCCTTGACCAAAGCAGCTCTATCACAGAGGTTAGTATGGGTTGATCTCTAATTAGATGATTGTAGACAGTGCGGCTCACCAAATACCCAATCCAAGAATTCGTGATTGAAAATCCAAGGCCAAGTGCCGAGGTCCAGTCGAATTGACGAGGCATGGCGGCTTCGTGGCCATTTGCCCGAAGAATCGCATCGTCATCATCATCTTTCTTCGTTGCAAGTTCATCTTCCAAGACACCATGCCCTATGCTGAAATTATCGGGCGGCATGCCGTCATGTTTTGTCGATTTAGTAAAAGGGTGGTTCATTATGAACACGAGTGGTTCGTCAGAAAGAAGGAATACCTGGAGTCCTTGCTCTGTGATATCTGAAGGAGAGAGGCAGAGTTTCTTTCAAATGCATAACTGTGGCAGGATCTTGTATTTATCGATTCACTATGTCTGGGGCACCAAGGGATGTCCAAAGGCCAGTCGCTGAACAATTACCCCAAGGGGGAGCATGATAAGCTTACCCCGCATTGCAGACGCGGAGCCGATAGGGCACCGATTATAGAGGAAAGGTTTCCACGGGTGGAGCAGCTGAGTACATTGCCGTGTTGGACCAAGATTGACCATACTCAATTGAGACATGAGCCCGTATTGGAACCTCGGATTAGAAATGTATACAAGTCTCAGTAATTCACTTCAGGATGTTGTAAATATTCCCTGACTTGCCATCCTCTAATTGAAGGTTATATTGGCGAAGACACTCGAGCCTGAATGTCCAGGTGTATAAGGTTGGATGAATTGCTACAATGGGAAGTTCTTTCAACACATAGAGAACAAGGGATGAAATATTCCGAGGGCTTCATAGAGTACTAGTCGGCTGAACCTGGCTTCTCAACAGACTAGCAAAGTGTAATGGATGGTGGCTTGGGGGCGGGCGTCCGTATTCATGGCGATAGGGGCATCGTGAACGAAGTAGTAACCCACATCTCGCCGCAGTGAAAAATAAAAGAAGATTATTATTGGAGTCGCTGCCACGGAAGGGCTTTAAGGTTATTATTTCGATCGGCATGAATTTATCCCAGGAACGGTCAGGTTTCGCTTTGTACCGCATTGAATTGCTCGCCGGATGCGAGTTCTTTGAGTACCCAATTTAATCAAAACCAGCAGCTTACGAAAAGTACTCTTTTGCCATTAGGAAAAAGGAGAGATTAGGAACATAAATTCTTCGTGTAGAACACTACCCAAATGTGAATAGAACGACATGATATTTGCAGTAGATAGCCCGCAAGAATCAAAATTTGGATTTTCTTGATTCTGCTGCTCACTACAAGTCATTTGCAACTACAACCGAGTCAATAAATTAGATTTGGCCCACTCCAAGCTCTAGGACTCATGCCCGATAGAAATACTGGGAGATATACTAAATGGGGTAGATCTTTCAGCAGGCAACATCATACCGCGTATAGCAAGGAGTCCAGCTAAACGAGTGTCATTGGACAAAGAGTATCTACATGCTGCTGGTATGTGATATTCTATTCCAAGCCACAAAAATGCTTAAGCTTATAATGTTAAGCCTCACAAACTACTACAAAAGTTTCCAAGCAACACGTTTTCACCAAGGCGCGACTCTTAAGGTCTCAAAAGTTTTTCCATGTCACAAAAGTGGCACACTTCAATCACACAATTTCGAGAAACACTCCAAGGAAGATGTTATAGAAATGACTCTTGAGAACTCCAACACACTCGAAGCAAAGGTCAATGCCGAGGTCGTGGACAATCCTGAAAATGCCAGAGATTCAACCAACGTGATCAAGTCTGCCACTCCTGGATACTCCAAAATCGGGCAATCTGTGAGCATAAGTGCACAAAGGCTCCAAGCGTAAGTTCTGGATTAAATAGCACAATAACATATTATTGATCTCTAAGTTTGAATTCATAGGTTATTGCACACATCCGCGGGACAAGACTGCGCTCTAGGGAGCATTGAATATCTCGCTCACGCACTGCACTTTCTTCTTGCAAATTGTCAATGGCAAAATATTCATAGACTTCTAGGATACCCAAACAATTGGTGGAAAATTATCAACAGACAACCGGTGCCTCGCCGCCTCGATATCTTTACCAAGCGACAATATCCCGCTCTTCTCAACCTGTCTTCCCTCTTCAGCAGTGCGCGTCATACTTTGAGACTGTTTGGTCTCTTTTCTATATTGACAAACATTCGGAGGGAATTTCAATATTCAACAAATAGCAGTCTCATTGACGGTATCAATATTTTCCAGGTCTTCACCATGGCGTCCTATCAGCTTCTCGAAAACATTGGCCATCTCGCGTCGAACAAGATTATTTCGTTAGAAGCGATTGGAATCAAAGCTAAAGCCAAAAGACTCTACATCTTGGCAGCAAGAGCATTATTTTTATATTTTTTGCTTGAGCTGATAAAGCTGAGCAAGGAAGCCTGGCTCGTCAGAAAAGGCAGAAAAGGAGCCCAGAGTCAGATGCCACCTTACCCAGGAAATATCGGATCAGAATATAGGCAGTCAAGTTTGACAAAAAGCCTTGATGGCGGGGAGAATCAAAATTGGAGTAAAAGACTGTGGGCGAGCTCATTGTGGGGAGTTTTGTGTTTGTATTGGAGCTGCGGGCAGACAGTTCCGCTCGTGGAGGAGATGGCTGGTGGTGTAGGTTTTCTGGCCGACTTCTTTACCTTGAGAGACACATGGATACAAACTCGCAAATAGTACGTTAATTGATCTGTCTTAAAAGACTGCTCTCTCGCAGCTAGCTAGTATTTAGAAATGAACCTTTCAAGGAAGTAGAGTTAACTGATTTCCAAGGTTACTATCTTTCTGAAAAAGAGTACTACTTGAAATTGGACATGCAAGCAGGCATGATACTATCTGACTAATGGGTTACATTGGTGACCTTGGATTTCTATATAATCTTTTTTATTTTTCAAATTTATCCTACTCCTTGTAGTAGTATCCATTGATGTCGCCTGGCACCTATTAGGAGTAATCGGTTTCCGTGGGGACTCGAAGGATACCTATTCTCTCCTGGTTGCTTCTGTGGCCTCGGCTTTGTCTTGACGCCCTGAACTTTCTGGAAATGTTAATTTCCAGATTTTGGTATTTTGCCACGGCCACGGCGAACTCGTGGTTTCCCACAAAGAATTCGATCAGGAATATTCATTCCATGGGGAAGAGGACCCACTTCTCACTGTTTCGGAACGATCGGCAGTGGGGATACCGAATTAGGAAGCTCGGCCAGCAGTGCCTCATTTGGACATTCACCCAACCACCTGCAGCTGTAATATACATTATCGCTGGAATTTGAGTTCATTGGACTATTCAATAGGGCATGTGAGAATAATATGGGTGATTTCGACCGATTCGATTTCGTTCTTGATTCATCTCAACTGATGAAAGGACTGTGCCAGCTAACCTCAAGAAAGAACCATTCCCAAACCACTACACAATATTCAAATTTGAAATTGTCACAGTTCCCAAATCCCTCCTTCCCTTCACCAAAGATTTATCATTATCTGCCAAGTTACTATTCCATCCTACTTCACATCAAATAACAACATGCCGGGAATTGAATACTTTCAGGCCCCAGGCCGGCTAGGCGAGATATTTGAGGCTGGAGGCACCTCAAACGTTACCAAGGTCCCCTTGCATGGAAGTCTTGTCGTGACAGGGGGTCAGCCCGGTTTCGATCTCGAGCGCGGAGAGTTAGTGACCAGCTCACTAGAGGACGAAGCTGATGCGTGTTTCAACTGTGTTGACGCAGCGCTGAAATCTGCCGGGGTTGCTGGTGGACTTGCGCAAGCACACAGATTCACTTGTTTTCTTAGTGATATGCGCTACGAAGCCGCTGTCATGAAGGTTTGGCGGGCGCGAATGCCCAACCATAAAGTACCTTGGGTCACTGTCGGCGTTTCTATGTTGGCAACTCCAGCTATGAGGGTTGAGATTGCCGCCGAGGCTCTTACAGATGGCTAGTCTTCAAGCCACAGGAGTGCTTAGAAGATTAAAATATCTGCTGTTAGATCAGGAGACAAGCACTGGCCCTTAGGGTCCAGCAATGTGTCATACTAGCCACATTGAGAGGCATTAAGCAGATTCATGTATTCCGATTAGTCGTCATGTTCAGAATATAACTACTACATGAGCGATATACTACGTAGCTCCATGATTGTTCTAGTTAGACCCGGCTCGGGGGATTGATTTGGAACGGCGGTAAATCAAATACAAATTGGGCCTAAATATTTCTCGCCAAAGGCAAATATCCCAAAAACCTGGACTTGAACATTCGCCGGTGCTAACCAGTACTACTCCATGGAAGCTGGAAGAAATAGAATTAAAATCCTTTTTACAAGACTAATAACTAGACATCGTTCATTAAGAATATTGGTTTCTGCGGACTAGAGTTGGAGGGTGAGTATGGCCTTCGATCGGCCTAAAATCAAAAATGGAAGTTTTTCCAGCAGAGAATTTGGCCTGAATTTGTTACCGTCAACGCTTTCCTGGAAAGTGTGGACCCATGATTGACTATATATATTTTGTCAACCCTTCTGACCTCGGAAGGAGCCAAAGATTATGAATTGGCCGCAGTATTCCAATGTCGACTCTCTAGCTTTTGTTACGAATCATCTGCCCAAACCTCACAGCTATCACAATGGTGCAAAGAAAGGAGAAAGCCATCGAGCCTGGGGGCCTCCTACCTATACCCCCCCCTACGACCCTGAGATTATGACGGTGGTAGATACACAACACCGCCCGGTACCGAAAAGCTTCGACGAGCTAAAAGAAATACGCAACAGAGAAGAAGATTGCAGCAAAGAATTCTTCGACGACCCTGATCTCGCCATTAATGATCACATCATTCCTATTTCGGAAACATTCTTAACAGCAATAAGTCTATCGCATCGTCAACCCTCCGATGCGGGAAGGCCTCGACCGGGAATCCTTTTCTTCCACGGCGGTGGTAGAGTCATGGGGAATGTGTTCACCGGTCTCAACAGTCTCACTGATGCCGTTAAGGAACTCGATGCTGTTGTCATAAGCGTCAATTACCGCCTCTCGCCAGATTACCACGGCACGGAAGTTGTAGAGGACTGCTATGGCTCACTGGTGTGGCTTTCTCAGAACCTCGATCTTTTCAGGATTAATCCCAAGCAATTCATGATTGCGGGAGTATCAGCTGGGGCTGGTCTTGCTGCAGGAACAATCCTCATCGCAAGGGATCGCAAAGGACCTCAAGTCTGCGCCCAGCTCCTGATGTGTCCGATGCTCGACGATCGATGTAACTCTCTTTCTTGCTTGCAATTTGAGAATGGACGTGGATTTTATACAACATGGGATCGTTATGCTTGGTCGTGTGTCCTTGGACGCGAGGCCGGCAAAGAAGGTGTCAGCCCCTATGTTGCGCCTGCGCGTGCGACAGATTTGTCGCGTCTTCCTATTGCATACATCGATGCCGCATCTGGTGAGCCATTTCGTGATGAAGATATTGCGTATGCCACCAAGCTATGGGAATGTGGTGTACAGGCGCACTTGCACATTTGGGGTGGCGGATGCCATGGCTTCGATTTATTTTACAAGAGTGGACTCGGTCGCCAGGCATGCGAGACACGTACCAAGTGGCTAATAAAATTCCTTCGCTCTCAAGAATAAGGGAAGACCGTGTTATCTCCGAGATAGAATGGGAGAAATTCTAGCACCCCCTGCATTTAGAGCATTGCGGAACTTTAATTCGAATAGCACCCATCAATTTTCTCGCCGTTGCTTTCGTCATAACATTCCATTGCGTTCGCTAAGATAATTCAAAAAGTCTCTTCGGCGGTATAAGAAGCACGGCCTACATTTACCCCCCCACTAGCTATCTATTAAGAATTCAAGATAGCAAGCAAACCCCAGGCATTCAAGATTGGCTATATCAGCCTCCTCCGCTATTCTACATCATCATCACACTCCTATTTTTGTAATATGGCATCTCTCTCCTCTTCCATGGCAGGATTCTTTCCCTGCCGTAAAACCTTTATCACATTGGGCCAGAGCCAGAATTCTGGATAGAATGACAATGGTTTCATTTAAGCTCAATGGATCAGCCGGTCCAGGGAAGGAAATTGGACGCGAGGGCGTAGTCTTGGTACTTGGGTAACAATAATCGAAAAAGAAATTGAATTATCATTGCTCTCAAAGGTCCAAGTGACCAAAAGGCTAACTATTCTCGCTGGGTTCCTTCCCTGCTCAAGGATTTTAACCATACGTAACCGCTCTGGTTCTGACATCTCCCTCTATCTAGACATCTCATCTACAAACAACCTTGGAACAAATTCCATACTCCTGCACACATGTATTTCTCTATTATCGCCTAATCAACTCGAACAGACAGAACTAGTACTCTTTACATAAGTACATCTGAAAAGGTTAACAGAGCTCAAACTCGAATGCCTGTAATCTCGCGGCTAACGTCATGGCTTTATAAACTGGAATTCCGGAACCATTTTCTGAGTACCAGATCCTTACGGTTTATATGCGAGAAGGACGAGTGGAGCAGCACGACGAATCATTTTGGTGCAGTGTGGATTTGTTCTCGTTTTGGTTGGATCGTGGTACGTCGTTGGATGGGTTTATATCGAAGAAGTTGACGGGCTTCAGCGACACCATCATCTTCTCAGTGGGCATGACTGGAAAATCTAAGACTCAAGTTAGCTGCGGTTGAACAGGGTATATACACTTTTAATGGTGAGACATACCTTCTGTTCGAGTGACATGGGTGACACCAAAACTGTGCCAGAGAACGACATCATCGTTTTTAACATTCTCGTCACGAGCAGCCCACTTTGCAAGCCCAGTGTCCTCTCTGCTTTGATTAGTGAACTCACCAGAGGCCCAGAGCTCATGATCCCGATATTTGGTGACCCAGATAGGCTTCGTGGTGAAGATACCGCGCTTGAGGTTGAATGTCGAAGGCCCCATCATTAACATCTGACTGGGAACAGGATGCAGCTTGTAACCGACAGGCTTGTTCGCAATACAGTTGATCTTAGACTCGTTCAAGATCTTGAATGTACGGTTCTGGGTCAGGTCAAGGTCATATCCGCCAGGCTTCTGAATCTGTGTTTGTTTGACCTTGAACGCACATCCAAACGGGTCAAGCTGGGGCTCGTTTTCCACAGGAATGCAGTCATCATAGACGACGGTGTTAGAGCGTCCGTCGAGTGAGGGGTTGACACGGAGACAGAAGAGATGCTGGTGGTTCACTGCAAGCACACCGGGGGCCACAGTAGTGCCCCAAGGAACATGAACTCCCTTCTTGATTGGCATTGTAGAAACTATACCCGTGGCACGGACGTCGACGTGTAGATTGGCGGCCTGGTCGAGAACGAAGGCAAGGATATACTCATAGTTCGCAACGGTGGCAGTGCACTGAACAACGAGCTGGCGATCGCGCACAACAGACGACTGCCCATTACGGAAGTTAGTATGCTTCCAACCAATACCGTCATCAACCTCGTGCATGCAGACAACGTTGGGCATAATAACAGGATCACCGCTACTTGTAACGCGGATGCCGTTAAAGTAGGCAATGTGGCCAAGGCAATCGCAGCCCAAGCTCAAGGAGTTGGAGGTGAGACCGAATCCAGAATCACCTAGGTCAAATGCTTGTTTGCGATGGTAGGGGGAGCGGGGATCGCCATATGGGACGGTCATCTCGCTCATGGAGACACGGTAGAATAGAGAGCGACCGTCATAGCGAATATCGTGAAGGACAGGACCTTCACGCATATTCCATCCAAGCTGAAAAGACCACTTCTGCCACTGAATATGACGTCCTTGTATGGTAAAAGAGGGACCCTGGGGCTGAAGAACCTGTAGAGGTTTGAGGTCCTTGCGAAAAGAATCAGGGCCCAAGAGGTCGGCGCTATATTCGACGGCACTGGTGGGATCCCAGGGTTGAGTCTCCTCGTCAATTTCATCAGTGGCGCCGGTAGGCAGTCGTTGCAGGTCGATTAACTCCAGAGTGTGGCCGTCGAAAATCGGAGCGAAAGGTAGGGGAATAGAGTAGTGGTTGGCCTGGGGGTCATCGCTCAGGGCAAGGTACATGTAACACTGGAAGAGACGGCGGCGCTCGTTATGGTCATCGGTACCGAAGCTCCAAGGGTCATTTTCAATGCGGGAACTAAAACATCTGTTAGTCAATGAGCTCGTTCGCTGCTGTTTGGGAGAAGTGCTTACCCAGCAGGGAGCTTCAACTTAGCCACCTCCTCGAGGACCTTCGGGTGTGATAAGCAGGCCTTGTGGACTAAATCGTACTCGACCCAATCGACGGGACCTTGTGAGTCAGGTGCATCGTAGCTATTCTCGACGACTCCCTTGGTAATGTTGACAATAGCGATCGTAAGGATAGGGCTCTTCAATCGGTGAAAGTAGGCGCGGCATCGGCGATCGGGGGCCGGGGCACCGTGGTGAATGTACTTCAGGGTCTCATCCTTGGAGGGCTCGTAGAGATCAATGACCTTGAAGCGAACGTCCTTGGTAGTGACACCTAGGTGTTGCAAGATTGCCGTTGACGCGACCTTGACCTCCCCCACGTGCAATGGGTCAAGGGGGTGGGGGTCGGGGGCGGATGCGGGGAGATACATAGTAGTTTGATAGTAGTAGGAAGCGGATGTAAAGTCGCAGATATTGCTTCGAGTCTTCAAACCCAGGGGATTCTTCCATGAGACTTATATAACATTGTCAATCGCTGTTGAGCTACAATAATCTCGAGGGCTTAACCTTGAACAACTCCTTGGATGCTGGATCGGGAAGTAATGCCAGCATCCCCTCAGCCAAGTTCTGTATAACAGCCGCCACTTGACTGCCTCGCGTATATTTATCCAAAAAGAGCAAAGGATGAGAAGATCTGAATTGTGGGGAGACTACTATCAAGTACATACATACATACTTCTGTTTCAATCGGGCGGATCCGACTGTGGATGACAGGGCATTTATGGTCCGAGTCTGTGGCGCTACCAAATCGGGTAACATTCCCAACCACAATGAACGTCAAAACCCTTAACAGTATGAAAACTAAAGCCCCACTAATCTAGACTCAGTCGTACACTAAATAACAGTTTTGCCACAGTTATGCACAAATTTCCATCCACAGTCGAAAGTTAGAAGCGGAGAAACCGATGGAGTCTATCGTTCCAGGAGCCTGCGTCCAGGAGAATCTATAATCTTATAGTACATTGCTGGAGAATTCCATTGAGAACTCCGGTTGAGATATGATCGCTTTTCTTGAGTGTAATAATCGAACATCATCAACTTTCGCGTAATTGATCTACATCACGGTTGTAGCCTGACACGCGACGACCGTCTAAAAGGCTGGAGAAGTAAGCCACAATGCAGTGGGTAGCAAGGGAACACCTCTCATTTGCGAGATGTTTATCATCATTTAGTGAATGGCAAGCTGAGTAAATATCTCCAAAAGGAAACCTTCTCAGCCTTGGCTCTTCCACCCCTTCTCAGGCTGGCCAAGTCCAGCCTTTTTAAATGGTAGAACTCCACGTCGTGGTCACCATGATTTCAACCTCCGTAAGATTTCAACGAGGTTCTAGTACATCAACACCCACATTTCCTCAAGTCTGAGCTTTTCTGTCCACCATGTCCTACCACGCCGCGCTCTCCCACGACGGTTACACCTACACCAAGCACGACGGCTTGGTCCAGGGTGTTCGGACTTATGGTTTTATACAGCCACAGAGCAAGATACGCGATGCTGATGCCGGTAAAGTATGGGACGCCATTGTTATTGGCGCTGGGTATACTGGCTTAATTGCCGCCCGTGATCTTGTCAAGGCCGGTGAGTTGTCTGCGACTTAATTCGGGATGGGGTCTAACAGGAATCCTGAGAGATACTAATGTGATCACAAATAGGCAAGAAAGTTCTTCTTTTAGAAGCTCGTGACCGTGTCGGTGGTCGTACCTGGTCCGCAGAGGTCGATGGAACAACATACGAGATGGGTGGAACCTGGGTTTCACACGTCCACGGTCGCCTCTTTGCTGAGATGCAGCGCTACGGTCTTCAGGACCATGTGCAAATGACCCGCACCGATGATGGAGGCTGTTCATACTTCACTCTCGATACCGGCTCCGGTTCACGAAAGCTCTCCCTTGAGAGTGCTGGCGAGATGACCCAGCGGGCCTGGAAGCTCTTCATGAACTACGATGGTCTCGATGGAAGGAAATTATGTCCTCTTCCCTACTCCACCCTCGGCAACTCTCGTGTCTCTTTCGAGGAGGTCCAAGCTGTAGACCAGATATCTTGCCGCGATCGAATCGACCAGATAAAGGACGAGCTATCCGCTGATGAGCTCGCCCTCTTGGAGTCTTTGATCCCCCACATGTGCGCCGGTTCCGTCGAGGATGTCGGCTATCTTGAGATGCTCCGCGCCCAGGCTCTTCAAGGATTCAGTCCCGAGACCTTCGAGGAAGTCTGGACTCTCTACAAGATCCGCGACGGTCAATCCGCCCTTGCTCGTCGTATATTCGATGATGCTGTTCGCCTCGGCCTGCGATACTCTTTCAAGACACCCATCAAATCTATTATTGACCGCCATGGTGTTGTTTCTGTTGGCACCACTGCTGCGAAGGAATTCCGTGCTCGTCGTGTTGTGAACACTATTCCTCTCTCCGTTTTGCACACTATCCACTTCGATCCGCCCCTTTCACCCCTGCGCCAAGAGGCCATGCGCGTTGGCCATTTGAACCACTTGACCAAGGTTCACGCCGAGGTAGAGGGAGACCTACGCGGCCTCCGTGGCTGCACATGGCCTGGTGATCTTCTCTATGTATATGGTGATGGCTTCTGTGCTGGTAATCAGTCCACCCGTATCACTTCCTTCGCTGGTGACAACCGAGGAAAGCTTGACCCTATCAAGGAGCCCGAGCGTCTTGAAGCCGCTCTACAGCGCTTCCATCCCATGAAGATCAAGAAGGTGCTCTTCCATGACTGGCTATCCGATCCTTACTCTCAGGCTGGCCCCGCGTGGTACCGCACTGGATACCTTACCAAGTATCTGGCTGAGTTGCAGAAGCGTCACGGGAATGTTTTCATGGCTAACGCCGATTGGGCCTCTGGTTGGCGCGCCTTCATCGAGGGCGCCATGGAGCAGGGTGCACTAGCTGCCGACACTCTTATGAACGAAATTGGGATTCTTGGTGCCAACTCTCCTAACGACCCTGAGCGTGAGGCTCGTCTGTGAGCGCTGTGCTGCTTGAGTGGTTCTCATAGTTGTACATAGCAGCCTTCAAGTTCAATGGTATACTATTATCGTCCGATGTTAAAATCAATTGAGAACACCATATGGTCATTTTACACACATCATGCCCGTCGTAGGTGATTAGGTAACAGTTCTTTTTATAGTGGACACCAAAAGCAATCTCCTTTCCAGAGTTTCTCGCATCTAAATATTCAATGTCAGTCTTGGCATATAATCAATCACCAAGAGTCGACCAATTGCACGGTTTGTAGCTCTCCGAATCTTGCGTCAGGTTGAACTGCTTTGACCTATTGCGAATGTTCAAAGACAGAAATGTTTGACCCGTAAACAACCCTCATTGCAGCTATCATTCCTTACACTATCCCATCAGAAGGCATATTTTTACCTGTAACAAATTCGCAGATTCAAATTCGCGAAAGCTCTACGGGAGTCACTATCTTCCTATTTTCCTTTCACATAAGATATGATTTGAATATTCACATTTCTTGAAATTCATTAACAATCTTCTATGGTTGCCCTAATTGTAAAGACCACCGTTTGCCGACAAAACGGAGCCCGTGGTCCACTTAGAGTCCTCAGTGCACAAGAAAGCAACCAGGGGGGCGATATCCTCAACCTCGCCCACACGAGGGGCAGCCGGGGTAGCCTCGATCATAGGCTGCATATCTTTCAAGAACTGCTCGTCACTTTGAAACCATTGATCTAGAGGAGCCACTTAGTTATAAATAATTTATGCAAACGAAATTTTGGGTTATTTCATCTTACCAGTAGCAACTGGGCCAGGGTTGACGCAGTTCACAGTGATTCCATGTGAGTGACCCAGCTCCTTTGCCCACACGCGAACCAATGCTTCATTGGCGGCCTTGGTAGAGGCATATACAGTCTGACCAGCAACGCCAAGACGGGCAGCAGCAGATGAGATGAAAATAATACGACCACCACGGGGCAGATATGGGAGAGCGGCCTGGGTGAGAAAGATAGGGCCGCGGACATTGCAGTCGAAGTGTGAGTTGTACATTTCCACATTAACATCCTTCAAGTCAGCTTCATTTCCAAGCGCTGCACTGATTGATTGTTAGTTACTTGCAAAACTTCTGCCTTGGGAAGATAATTTACTTATGAATAAGGATATCAATCTTCCCGTCCTTACTAATCTGCAAGGCCGCCTCGACAAGGCGGGGACTGTCTTGAATATTCATCACACTAGCTTGGCATAGAATGGCCTTTGTGCCAATTTTCTGAATTTGTTTGACAATTTCATCTGCGCGCTCTTTGCTGCCCGCAGAGACATAGTTGACAACAACGTTGGCACCCCGCTTAGCGAGCTGGAGAGCAATACCGGCACCGATACCACTAGACCACCATTAGTCAATGTTAACAAGTAAAGTTGAGTCTTAATAGTGGTGAGTACCGTGAAGATCCAGTTACAATGGCAGTTTTTCCTTCAAGAGAAACACCAGAGAAGTCAACCATTTTGGCGGTCTTGATTTGAGTCTGGAGAAACGACGGAAAATATGATAAAAAGAGGTAACGTTTTTAGAGAAAAAAGACCCAAAATTGCCCATTAAGTAGATTTTGGGATTCTAACATGACTTCATAGTCCCTTCAAATCCTCTCCAAAAACACATCTAGAAGGGTTGGCTATCATACCGAATGGGGATGGTTACCTATCTGGGAAGGTCCCCCAGCAATGGGATAAATCGACACTGCCAAGCGCTTCCCCGCTCCTATATATCCACCGGGCTACCCAGTTTCTATCTGAGTTTGATAAGAAAACTTGAAACTTGTAATGGATCAAGGGGAAAAACGCAGATTATGAACTAGGACAATAACAAGTCGGCCCCGCCCTTCTTAGCCAGCAATTTCTAGCCTCTTAGCATATTGAAAAACTGGGGAACGACAAAATGAATGAGCCTAGTAGCATGGCTCAAGTTCCCTTTCGCTGTTTTCGCTTTCTGAATCGATGTCTGAGCTCATTCTGCGTTGGGTGTCAATTTCAGGCTATAACTTGATCTACTGCATCTGATACGTCCATCACTTACCGGTACTTCCTGATCCGCCACAATGATAAACGACTTTTCTCTTGTTTGTTTATGGGGCAATGTCTCCTTCTCCTGAATATAACGATAGGAAGATCCTTTCATGATGGTCGACAGAAGATTTTCCTTCTTCGAATTGGGTGAAGGTCCTTGCCAGTGGGCGACATGAATATCTCCGCAGAGCAGTGGAGCAATAAAATTCATTTTGCTGATAGTGACCCACGGATATTTTGTAGTAAAAGCATGAAACGAAATTTTCGAGATTGTTGATCAAATTCAACCTTGGAAGTCTTTCAAGTTTCTCCGAGTCTCATACGGACTCGAAAGGAACTTGAAGGGAAACATACTTTATATCTCATAAACACCCAGCCCATCTACTCTTCCAAGGTTGTACGTGCTAAACAGCCGCCAAATCGATCTCTATCAACATCCGACAGGAGGAAACGGTTTGAATAGGTAAAGCGGGTCCCTTTGCCCAGAAACCCCGATTCAAGGTCAAACCATTCCCAGGTGCGTTTTGAAGCTAGGCTAGTAACTATTGGACCTCCAGGCTGTCAGACAAGGTCACGGCTGTAAGTGCGGGTAGGTCTGAGTGGGGACAACTGCCTATCTAGTCAAGCATCGCAGCAATCGCAAGGGCGACATCTAGCTACTCCTCATATCGTGAGCGGGGTATTTATGTCTCGAGGGGTTAATTTAGGTTGGGATTGTAAGAAAGCGCGTGGTTTTATTACTTCAAAATTTAATTAGCAACGCAAGTTGACCCGCCAAAAACCCATATTTTAGTGGATGATTAGAAGAACTCCTTTAAACACCAGTTTATTGGGCCTTGCGACGAGCCAGGCCTCATCACTTGATGCGATGAAGCATTGACTATAGCGAATGATGGAAAAGTAGACAGCAGAAATCATTAATAGCATACATAATTTCCGAGACAGCGAATACCGAGGAGTATGCCTACCAAAATGTCAGTAGTGCACAGCCCTGCGGGCAGCAGCTGCTATCAATAGCCTCCTCCGAGTGTTCAGAGGCAGTTTCAGCAATATATAATAGGGTCATGGTGCATTAGCTCTTCCGCCCGACCACGAATCACAGCACCTTCAAGTTCTAGGGCCTAGCGGAGGTAGCTCTAGCAATTGTTACCACACGATCAAGGCTCAGGATGCCCTTGGCCTCCCACGAGCTGATCTTCGCCAGAAGAATTTTGGACGCAATCCGATCTTCAAGACCCATTACCCAATGTCTTCACAAAAGAGAAAAATCTTGCTCCTCGATAAATGGTCTGAGTCTTATCGCTTTATTGATGTAATTTTCCAAGCCATCACTCTCTTGCCTGATCTTAATAATGCGCTGTACGGTCTTTTCGGGTTCTTCCGCGTATGGAATCTATGGGAACCTGGATCGCAGAGCCGCTGCAGCCCGATAAAAATCATTGGAGACAGTAGGCTGTTGCATAGATTTCTTTGCTGATCCAGTTAGGCCTGCATATAACTGTTTGGCTTTCGCTTCACTCATCTCCTTCTCTGGTAGACCAGAGTCCATCCAGTAGAAATTGCATAGACTAATGTAATTATCAACATTTTCTTTCCGCTCCCCCGGAGAAGGCGGGAATAGCCATCTTAGAAACCCTGTTGCGCCAGGAACGGTGCTTCTTCCCGAGCACTTCTTCTTCAACCCGAAGCCTCTTGAGCGAACTCGTAAGATTCTCGGTGTCACTGGACTCTGAGTCCGACGGAGTTTGATCCGGGGTGTTGGACTCCTCTGTTAAACGTCTGGGTGCCATCCAATGGTCTTTCGGCCTGTACGACTCGATCGACGACAGTACCCGGGCCTGAATATGAGTCAAAGGTCAAAGTAACGAAAGTCGAAAAGAAAAGTCCTGTAGGTTTCACACACGCTTTTTTTACGTGGCTCACTGCTCCACGTGATTAGCGAGTGACGCCGTTCGCCGTCGCTCTTCCTTTCTTGCCTCTTTGCTTCGAGTTACATATTGGTTATAAAGCTCGTTTGGATATACTTGTCCTGGGGTAAAAAGTCAGTATTGTTAGCTGATTTAAGAATCAGAAAGCAGTAGATGGGGAACAAAACACATCATTTTACCCAAAGGAAGGAGATGATGATAGGGGATCTATTGGGCCTGAGGCTATCTACGGGACACCACTTGACACCTGAGGCACCAACATAATCTGTACTCGAGGCTAGTTTGATTTTCGATTGCACGTCAGGTAATATGGCCTCTGATTATTTCTGTGAGAAGTGTTATTCTAATACCAAAATTCAGAGTCCTTATAGATTGAGTCAAATATGGACTTGATCTATACTCAGAGCCTACCTGTGGTGTACCATAACTAACTATCAACTGCATCGGTGATCAATACACTACATACGATCACTGCTATTTGGAAATATTGTATGTTCTGCCCGGGGCAGAAACGGAAAGTTTGGAAAAGGCTTAGATCTCCACAGGGTACAGAGTAAATAAGTGCAAACAATGGTGGCTGTAGGCGTCACAGCTGGTGGGCCCAAAATGTGCTCAATCTTTCGCACCTCATAGCGCCAAATCGTTAGGTACCCCACGCATTTTCCAATAGCATAACCTCTAAAGGGATCTCGTCATCAGAATTAATGTATTAATACCTTGGGGGCTGCGGGGTCCTCTTAAGAGGGGTTCCCAATGGGGGAGGACCTTGGAGGCTCTAATACCCGCGCTTTCCCCAGTGACTTCGACTTTCCACCTCGCAACCTCCAACCTTCAAACATTTCCATACCACACCATCAGAATGGCCCACACTCTCCCTCCTCTCCCTTATGCCTACGATGTAAGAATTGCCTCAAAACACGTCTGAATGATCATTTTCTCATCTTGACCAGGCTCTTGAGCCTGTGATCTCCAAGCAGATCATGGAGCTGCACCACCAGAAGCACCACCAAACCTACGTCAATAACCTGAACGCCGCTCTCTCTTCCCAGGTTGGAGCGACTCAGGCAAATGACGTCCCGACCCTGATCTCCCTGCAGCAGAAGATTCGCTTCAACGGCGGCGGTCACATCAACCACTCCCTCTTCTGGAAGAACCTCACCCCGCCCGGAACTCCAGGTAACGACCTGACCGGAGCTGCTCCTTCTCTCAAGGAAGCAATTGTCTCCCGTTGGGGATCCGAGGACGCCTTCAAGAAGGCATTCGGTGCCGCTCTTCTCGGTATCCAGGGCAGCGGCTGGGGCTGGCTCGTCAGCACTGGCGGACCCAAGAGCCGTCTCAACATTACCACCACAAAGGATCAGGATCCTGTCTCGGCTGAGAATGTGCCTGTATTTGGCGTTGACATGTGGGAGCATGCCTACTATCTCCAAGTAAGTCCCATTTCTGGAGCCGACCGAAGCTTCATACTGACTCCTTGGCTACTAGTACCTGAACAACAAGGCTGGCTACATTGAGGGAATCTGGAAGATCATCAACTGGGCCGAGGCAGAGAAGCGCTACACGGCCGGTGTTGAGAACCCTGTCAAGCTTTAAGGGTGGACGGCTCGACCTCTCTTACATTTCCCTGCTGCCGTTTGTGACAAGATTCATGACTTAGTTGATGATAACAATGTAACCAACCAAATTCAAATCAAATGGATATCAAATTTCGCATGCTGAATATAAAGTAGAAAGGAAGGTCTATTCAAGTCATTTACTTTAGTTGAAACCCACGATGCCTACACCGAGGACTGCCCCCTCGGCTTCGCGGAGGGTGACTTGTCTACCCACGACACCTTTCTCGGAGACACCCAGGTCCAGCCGCTCGGGTAGCTCAAATTCCATCTCCGTCTGGTGAAATCCAGGTTTCAGACATTTGTTCTGGGACAGATCTAATCGGAACTGGTGGAGAGGGGCTGTGGGGGGAAATGAAGTCGAGAGATCCCCATATTTCCTGCCGAACTGGTATTAATAGTGAAACTCGAATCAAAGGATTGAAGACTTACTCTATGCGCATATCCACATTTCCAAGACCCTTTAATGTTTGGTAGGTCTCTGGGTCGTCGATTTGGAAGACAGCCTTGGTTCTTTGGTCGTTCGTATCGCGGAAAAAGAGTGAATAGGAGGATAGAGAAGACGTTGACGTAGAGGTAGATTGTGAGGTGATTGAGTCTGGGGAGGAAGAAAGCGATCGCTCCGAAGAAAGATTGTTGTCGCGTGGGAAGAGCACGGCGATGGTGCCTCCAAAGGTAGGACGGTTGGTTTCTCCACACATGTTGAGGTTTTGACTCGGAGGTTGATGATGTTGAAAGGGTGGAAAATGTAAGAATGCAGCGATGGATATATGATATGAAGTATGTGCAACGGTTGGACAGGTTGATGTTCAAGAGAAAAAGAGAGAGGGTCTCATGACACCCATACTATATAGGCGCAGCTTACACCCGCAAGGTCGGCCACCAAGGTGAGCGGGATCGAGCAGATATACTCCCCAATGAGGCTAGTCCTGCCGATCGGCTCAAATCTGCGCATTTTGTGGGGCAGCTTGAATGCCTGAGGCATGGGGACCCTCAGCTTTGAGGGGTAGATCCTTCTGTTTCAAGTCAGATGCCATTCGCAATATTTTATCGAGTAGCCCCAGTACCCGAAACTCCACAAATCAAAATAGAGCTGGGATATCCGCGTGAGTAAATGTGGATAAGGAAAGTGGAAGACAGGAGGACAGGATGACACAGGAGAACAGCCTTCGGGCTATTTTAATTTTCTGCCAGCAAAATATCCTCTCTCTCTCTACTACCTACCACCCTATTACTAGGCTTCTAATTATGTTTAAATCGACTACTTAAGCTCAGGATTTACTATATCTAGTCTTTCTCTATAGTTTATTAGTTACTAATAGCTTTTAGAATACTCTACTGTATACCTATATATTGCAGTAGGGAGTTCCGCTCTCAACGTCAGTATTCCAGAGTTAGTTAGTTATAACGTAATTCACCACCGAGTGGGCCACACCACCGAGTGGGCCACCCAACCGCTATTTCTGCACATTTATATTTATATATCAACCACAACGCCTTTATATTCCCTATTCTCTATTTGGACAAGCATTCTTTTTATGCCCTATTTTACTGCATTTACCACATTTAGGTAGGGCCCGCGTCTTTGGTGTTTGCGTTCCCTGCGCTGGTGGCACTCTTGGACCTGGTATTGCCTGAAAGAACGCATTATGAGCTTCCTCAAGCTCTAGTGCTTCTTGTACGGATAGACCATTATCATGAGATATCCATCTATTCGTACGAGCACGCTTTTTCCTCTGCTTTAGGTTTTCCGCATATAGTCTCGTATTTTCTGCCTCGAGAAAGATACCCTTTTGTATTGCGATTTGACAGCCTTTGATAAGCTGGTTTAGCGCATCCTGTGAAGGTGATGGAGGGCTTCTTGAGCGTTGTCTTAAGAAAGCTTTGATTGAGGATGCTTGCTTATAAAGCTCATCGATGTTTGCAGGTGTATGTGGGCAAAATATACTTGCTTGACTACCACTGCTTCTAGGAGGCGTAGGCGTACGGAGTTGAATATTGAGCTGTGATAGTACTAGTTCAGGATTAAAAGGTGCTAATATAGCTGCTCGGAAACTATTTTGAATAGTTTCTGATTTGAATATATCGATACGAGCTTGTGGATAAGCTGTAAGGAAATTAAATTTGTCGATATAGCTGACTCCGAGCCGTATTTTTTGGTCGACTAAGCTACTATATACGCGCTTTAGAACAGCGAAACACCCAATATCGAGAGGTTGTAAAAGATGCGAAGAATATGCGGGCATGCAGATTAGTATAATATTATAATCTGTACAAGTTTGGTCGAATTCTGGTGTAAGATGACTTCCATATCTATTAAGGACTAATAATCGATATTGTCTATGTGTACGGCTGTTTGTTGATAGAATAAACTGCTTTTAAAGCCAACGAAGACCTATTTTATCGGTTGTCTACCTATTCGTGCTAACCTCAAAACGCCAGTCGTAAGGGAGCTCTTGAAACCATGCTTGGTTATATTGCTTGCCCTTAAAGATTAGTATTGGTGGAAGAGCCCATCCTGAAGCACTAATTGACTTAATTGCAGTTACCCACTTACGGTTTCCTGGCTGTAAAACTGATCTCCGTCTATAGTATTCTGATCGGGTAATTACTCTATGAGTTGCGCAAAGGCCTATCGCAAAGCCAGTCTTATTAAAGTTATAGATATCGTCTGTGAGGATACCGTATTGCTGAATTGTAGTTTGAACGAGGTTAAACTATTCTTTGATAATCTTTGGATCCTCTTGAAGTGCCCTTTGGTAGTTATATCGTCGTGAAAAGCGAGATTTAAGCTCTGGATGGCGTTTAATGAATTTTGTGACCCAATTCAAGCCCGTTGGCTTAAAATCCTTCATGCCACGCTTTCGGATTAACAGATCAGCCATTTCTCGTACCATTGCGTGTCTAGGCGCTCCACCACGAGTATCCATAGATATTATCCACTGAACAAGTAGGTCCTCCTCAATTTGGGATAATTTATGGCTATTTGCGCGAATGTCAGCGCGATTTGTAGTCCCACGTAGTCGACGCGTGAGCGTATTCCGGGGAACTTGTAACTGATCTGCAGCTTGCCGAATAGAGCTAATTTCTTTGGATTTTATAGCCTGAATAGTAAGCAAGAGACGGCCTTCTTGTTGGATAGAGTCTTGGCTTGATCCGACGCGAATTAGAGGCATGGTGGTGGATAGAAGATAGATGAACGCGGTTGAACGCGAAAAATTGGTTGGGTGGCCCACTCGGTGGTGTGGCCCACTCGGTGGTGAATTACGTTATAGCTAAGGCCTTAGCAATAAGGCCACCATTTTATTTTTGTAAGATTAAATAATATTTGTTGATCGCCGTGTATTGTGAAATTTCCTCTCACTAGCCTCTCGGGGTTGCATCATAGTTCGATAGTCTTCCAATAAAACAGATTTCCGAAAGTCGTGGTTCATAACAAATTCTCTTTTCAATTTCCGAGACCTTCAACGCCTCTCCTTGAGAAATATCGCCTTATCTGTCGGCTATCGGCGCAGAGAGGCTGCTAATTCTTGGATGCACAAGATCTCTTCTATTGGAGGGTCACGGTGAAGGCCAGATAAGTGCCCCCGGAAGTTCAGTGAGAAAGCGGCTTAATTTTCGCATACTGTAGCAATTCAATTTTATCGTCTTTCTGTCGCAGATGTCAAGGTATAGTTATAAGGTCAGGCGTTCATATGAAACTAGTTAGAGGTAAATATTGCTCATTATTCAGACATGTTCTTTACGGATCGCCTTGCACGCTATTTTTGAACTTTGAAAAAGGAGGAAAAGGAGATAACAGAATGCTCCAAAAATCGTTGGGAAGAGCATCTATATGCCTTATACCCATGTGGAGTTATGGAAAATGTTCCTGAGGAGGAATATAGCTTACAGTACCCACCAATGATCAATATCCTATAGCATGCATGTGCTGTGCGTAGTTGATTTACCCTGAACCCCCACCGAAGTCGGCTTTACCACTAGACCAAAATACGAATCTGCGCCGACCCTAGCCAGGTTGCGGTGAATAATCCAACTTAGACAAGAGGTCGGGGTAAATGAAATCATACTTGTCATCCTCGATATCAAGCGACGCAAATCGTTGACAACCGATAAACGAGTCGGACGAGAAATCTGTCCCAGGTTTCAATCTGAATATATGGTTTCTTTTGCTGCTGTTTCATTCCAGTAGTTACTTAGCAGAAAACAATACAGTGATAGAAAGGCCGCTTCCGAAAGATCTTAAATGTTTCATTATGTGCCGATAGGGCATTGTCCTAGTGTACCACAACTCTTTGCTTTATTTAACGGTCTTGTTAAGTACCATTTGGACTTTGTGAAAATCTGGCCATTCTGACAACTTGCTGATTTTTTTTCCATCCTCCGTCATGGTGAGCACGAAGACATAATCGGTACCATATGGTCCGGCTTCCAATTGTCCCTTGCTGCTGCAAAGCATCGTTACTGTTCTTTTCTGTATATCCGTGAACATCTCATTGATAGTGATTTTGAATGTCTTCAAAAGACTGAAGAAATATGCAGCCCGTTCGTAGGTCCGAAATCTAGATAAGGGCGGTATCGTTGTTAAATCTTCCGTCGGTGTTCGCTCCTGAGTGGAGAGGGAGCGGAGCACTGACTGTTCTTTGGTCATCGGAAAGACTCCTTCCGTATCAGGGTGGACGGTGTAGTGAATGTCATCAGTCCACCTCGATACAACATTATCCAAAGAACGACTTTCCAGGTCTGAGATCCAGCCTGCTGCTGTTTTTTCGAGGGTTTCCTTAAGAGACATTGTTCATTTACAGTGTGATGAGAAGTAGCACACTAAGAGGGATTTCGAGAGTTTAGATAAACTGAAATGCCAGTTCTGATCCTACCTCGCTCTATATGTACTATGCTCTATGTTTCGGTATTTGCAAGCTCGGGTCTTCGGTACGGTATGGTGTTTGCCCGACGGAACCGGATACATGGCTCACCGAGAATCCTTACCAATCAACCGTGCTTTGGCATAACTAGCGTAAGTCCCACAAGAACTCCCTCACCTGCCACTCCGGCCGTATTTATATCTATGCTCGTATTCAAGACGCAACATGCACCCACAGCGGTCAGCTTCGGGACAGGCATTTTAGGGGATGACAGTAATCAACAGCAACCAGGGTAAAATGGAAACACCAAACACCTACCTCATGGAAGGGGAAATAGCAGGAGACCTTACCAACTACCCGTGGAAGACAGATGTGCTGAAGTGACACCGTGTTGATAGAATAGAGAGATACTGGGAAGCTATAGGTGGCACGAATGGTGATAGAATATTGGATGACTCGACTTGAAGCTATATACATCATGGGCGCGGATGACTCAGCACACGAAGCCTGAGCCCTCAGGCTTCAGCAAGATAGTCGCTGCAGGCTTTATGGGGAACTACCAAACGAATTGATTGCAATTTCGTTTTCAAGCTTGACGTAGGTTTTCAGGCAGCCGCATGGGCATTGTAAATGTAGAATATAGGTTGCTCGTGGCTAAAGGTGTCGGACCCATTGTCCTAATTTCGATGACCTTTCCTCCCTTCCCTCGGTGTTGTTGATGGCTTCGCGGATCGTAACCAGGTGATATAACTAACACGCTACTGTATTGCCTGAGTTTGCAGGCCGGGGGAGCCTCAGGCTCTGCAGCCAACCCTGCGTGGTTTAGGACCACCCTTTTGTCGACTGCAGGCCAGTTGGCGCCCCAGCATAGCAGCTTTAGACTTAGCGAGCTGGGTAATTGAAGAATTGATTGATTGATTGGATCGGGTCATGACATGCTGTACAAGCCCCACCTTGCCCGCAGAGGGCGAGACCTGTCAACCCCCCGACCAACAACGACAACGGTGGATAAAATGGCAAAAGTCTGGCATGAGACCTCAGTCCCAAAGAAGCTCTCTTCATCAGAGGTTTACTATGACCTCGGGCCTTACAATCGACGCGTCAGCACCTCCAACCCCGATGCCCAGGCCTGGTTCGACCGTGGCCTTGTTTGGGCATACGCCTTCAACCACCAGGAGTCTGCACGATGTTTCGAACAATGCGTGATCTTCGATCCGACCTGCGCCATGGGATATTGGGGCATTGCCTTCGCTCTGGGTCCGAATTACAATAAACCATGGGCTTTATACGATGGAGAAGACCTCTTGACGACCACCACGCGGGCTCACGCCGCCGCCTGGGAAGCTAGGAACCAGGCAGGAGCAGCATTGCCCGTCGAGAGAGCTTTAATCGATGCCGTAAAGCACCGGTATCCCCAAGAGGAACCCCTGGGGGACTGCACCGAATGGAACAAGCAATACGCCACGGCCATGGAATCTGTATACGACGCCTTTCCTGAGGACCTAGATGTCATTTCACTATACGTCGATGCCTTGATGAACCTCACTCCATGGAACATGTGGGACTTGAAAACTGGGAAACCAACCCCGAATGCTCCAACCCTCAAGGTGAAGAAGGTACTGGACCGCGCCTTGGCCAGGGATGATGCCCTGGGACACCCCGGCCTCTTGCACTTGTACATTCACCTGATGGAGATGTCTCCCACGCCAGAGATTGCGCTTCCAATCGCGGACAACTTGCGTGGATTGGTACCCAACGCAGGCCACCTTGAGCATATGGCAACTCACTTGGATATACTATGCGGTGACTACCGTCGAGCAGTGGCATCAAATACATCCGCGATCCGCGCCGACGAGAAATTTCTTGCAAACCAGTCGCTAGGCCATTTTTACAACCTTTACCGAGCGCATGACTATCACTTCCGCATGTATGCAGCTATGCTAGGCGGCCAGTCCAAAATCGCCATCGAAACGGCCACTGTGCTCGCGGAATCGCTGACGGAGGACCTTCTCCGAGTTGAATCTCCACCCTTGGCGGATTGGCTTGAAGGATTTGTCTCTACACGAGTGCATGCTTTAATTCGATTCGGTCGCTGGGAGGAAATTCTCAGTCTGGAGCTACCGACTAACCAAGCCCTCTACTGCAGCACAACTACCATGGCGCACTACGCCAGAGGCGTTGCTTTGGCTGCGATGGGCCGTACTGATGAAGCAGAGAAAGAGAGGGATCTTTTTAATTCTACAAAAACGCTGGTTCCTCGATCTCGAACCATATTCAATAATACCTGTCTCGATATCATTTCCGTCGCCGAAGCAATGCTCGACGGAGAAATCGCTTACCGCTGTGGTGAATATGAAACTGCATTCGCCTGTCTTCGCATCGCAGTTGATCGAGATGATAATTTGCCTTACGATGAACCGTGGGGCTGGATGCAACCTGCTCGACATGCGTTGGGAGCATTATTGTTGGAACAAAACCGAGTAGAGGAGGCCAGCAAGGTTTATTCTGCAGATCTCGGTATTGACGAGTCTCTGCCTCGCGCCTTGAGACACCCAAATAATGTCTGGGCCCTGCATGGTTACCACGAATGTCTAGTCAAACTTGGTAGAGCAGCGGAAGCGAGGACTATGAAACCTCAGTTAAGGCTCGCTTTGGCTATGGCCGATATACCGATTCAAGCATCGTGTTTCTGTCGACGCAACTAGAGAGATCTATCTTGATGATTACATGATTGTTTACACGTTTTTATGCCCGGTCGACTATTGGTATATGCAAGTCAACTAACCCTTCCTGGGTGTTCCTGTCAATATCTACACTTGCGGTAATATATTCCCCGACCACATCTATGTGAAATGATTTACTCCATACTACGCATTACCAATTTCTCAAGAGCTGAATCAATTGAAGTGCATGACGTATTGGAACTTTCCCATCATTCCGCCCCTGGTGCCAAGCCCAATAAGCGCCAAGACAAACAACATAGCGAAGTCAAGGAGAATGGGCGCCTAAGAACACCAAAAAAGTTTAGCTCGAGACTCTATTTCTAAGGTCTGCTGCCTTGGGAACTCTGCAGAAGCTCAGGTCCAATCATGTAGAGAAGACCTCCAAATATTTTGGCGGGGAGAATTGCAAGATTCTTGGCCTCGCCACCCGCCCGGAGGCTGTGCTACGAATATGTATGGGAGCGGCAACGATGCACAAAATTGGGCTTCTTATGGTTCATCCCCCAAGATAGCTACTGGGCATATATATATAGGGTACACCTTAACTTCAAGTTCGAATAATGCTATACCTATCTGTCCCACTATTTAAATTAATTCGACATGTCAAGCTACTATGAAGAGTCCTACCCTGGTTGGCACCCAGACGCAGTACCTCGTCAACAGAAGAAATGGCTTAATTTTCTGTCACTTCGTTTCGGCGCCATAATAAGCACGATTGCACCCATCGTCTGCTTTGCTTGGGCATACACGCAACATGAGGCTGGCGTAGTGGCCACCGATGGACTCGGTAGTGCATGGGCCGGGATCAGCCTGGGAACGGTAAGTCTACAAGAAACAGAGTCATTGGTCGCATCTTCAATCGACTAACATTTTATACAACAATAGGCTTCCTACGGCTTTATCTGGTCTACTGTGGTATTCCTCGTAGTGCTCGTCTTCAACTGTGCTATTCCTCCTGCGGTCATCATCTTCTTCGACTGCATTTCCTGGCTCGCGCAGCTCATCACCATTTGTTTCTATATGCAAGAACTAGGAGGCTGGCATGCGGGTGGCTACGAATATTCCAGGAATAATATACACGATTATCTGTACGGGGCGGAGGTCTTCGGATGCTCAATGATGTTTCTTGGAATGTAATTTGACACAATTTTGCTTCCTGCTTTGATGGAGCTTTACTAATGTATAATCGTTTTTACAGAATATTCAATATGATCCTCATGATCGTTGCCTCGAGAGCTTTTCATGTTCAACGGAGGGCCAAGAAGCAACTCACAAAGCCTGGGCTTGAGGATGTCTAAATCATGACGATCGCATAGTTATGGAAAGCTTCCAATCCCGGGCGCGGTCCGTTTTACTGGATAATACTATACCATGGCATATGATCAGCGGTGAAGAAGGATGACGAGATGAACATACACTTTGCGTCAGGAGAGTAACGCAGATGATAATGCAAAATAACTTATTCTTAATTTTTGATCTCTAATAATCAACTCTCGTTGACAAGGGACACTAGTCTCAATCTAATATGGGAACACATTATGAATCAGCGAAAGGGCCATGCAGAATCATTATGAAACAGAGTAGAGGAACAAGAAAAAGTAAATCTGGGATTTTGAAGAAAAGGGTAATTTAAGCAATGACAAGAGTCGACAAGAGCAATCAAAGAAGATCAGATGCCTGCTCGTTGCTTCCTTCAACCGGGCATGACAAGCTGTGTCGAAAGATGCAATTTGGAAAACGCCGTGAGTGCGATCGATCTGGGGATTGTAAGCCATCAATGTCGATCATCAGAATGACACTAAAGTCTCATTATTCAGTGCTTTTTTTTTATCGTCAATTCAGTAGACTTTCAATGCTAGGGCGCAATGTGGACAAGCTCGTATTCTATCCACCAACTAAGAAACGGGAAGAGCGAGCCAAGAATCTCGGGGCCAGACTGAAACGCAAAGATCAACGATTAACACGAGCCACCGTGCTCTGCTTGGGCATTCTGGTTTGAACTTGGAGAGGATGGGGCGATTTTCGGAGAATACGAGAGGAATCAGGAGAAACTCTATCCAACTTTATCCATTCTGCATTCCTGTCGAAAGCCTCACTGCATATTATGAGTTAATAATAGCCTGGAGATCGCCGATCCAAGGCCCATCAACCTCCACTTCATGACGATCTCTATCTCCCACTGCTTTCAAGGTCAATGTTTCTTTGCAATTGTTTGTGCCCCTGCATACTCTGCTGCTTTGGAGCCCCAATTCTGCTCGTATTTCCCTTCCTATCAACCTATCGTTACGAAGTATGAACCTAAGAGATCTATCCATCGAGTTCATAGCGTCTTGGCCAACAATTCACAAAGATTTAAAAGCTCGAGATAGATCCGGGCATCGACTGGAACTAGAATATTCAACTTTTCTCTCAATCGATTCCTGCTTTTCTCATCGTCCATAATGTCCTTCAAGCTTCTTGTAGCCGCCCTGCCTGCTCTGGCAATTGCCTGCACTGGACCCCCAGTCAATGCAAATGGCCTGAATTTGATAAAGAGCTTCGAGTCATTCGAGCCAAGCGTCTATGACGACGGTTTCGGCAACCCTACGATCGGCTACGGCCATCTCTGCGGTGACGCTTCATGCTCCGAAGTCGCAAACCAGCCTTTAACCGAGGAGTCTGCGAGCCAGCTTCTGGCTAGTGATCTGGTGGTAGGTTCTTAACACTGTTTTGGCTCAGAAACATGGGTCGGCGACTAACAAGACACAGAGCTACCAAGATGGACTCACCAATGCCTTGGCGGATCCAGTCACCCTGAACGACAACCAATATGCCGCGTTGGTCTCCTGGACCTACAATGTTGGTAGCGGAAATATGGGTAGCTCGGATCTTGTCTCGCGTATGAACGCCGGCGAAGATGTCGGTACTGTGGCTCATGATGAGCTGCCTCAGTGGAACAAGGCTAACGGCGAGGTCGTTGATGGGTTGACTCGTCGCCGTGGCGAGGAACTGAACCTCTTCGATGCTCCTGCGGAATTCGGTGCCTTGCCAGTTGCTTGTTAGGTTAGGTTTGATTGTCCTTTGGCTATTTTCTTTTGTTCTGTGTAGTACTAGTAGTGATGGTAGTAGCTAGCCAGAATAGATTCGTGTATATTTACATCGGGTAACGGTGGAAATTATCACTTCTCCACGCATTATTGAAATGACTGACCAGGTGATATGCCCTTGAAGTGTTTTCAGAGAGTCAATGATAGCAGATTCATCAAGTTGGTACATGGAAATCCAATTCCCGTCTTCTTCTTGTACTCCTACACCGTTTCTTTGCATTATCATCCGAACCTTTTGGGGGTTGAGTTCATTTGGGATTACCCTTGATGGTCTTAATATTTTAGAAAAGCGCGTCCATGGGAAATCTCGATCGCAGAGCTCAGCCGAAATTCTATCCCAGCCGGTGGCGTTAAAGGTAAAACTGAAGACATCAGTGTCGACCACGGCGAGAATCAAATCTGGATACGCAATACCAAAAGAATTACTTGAAAGCCGTTCGCCACTTTTCATAGAACTCGAGTGATTGAAATTTGCCTGCACCTTGAAAGAGATTGTCCCTAGCTTCGCTGGACTTTCAAATACAAGCTCTCTTTGGCTCCAAGGTTCTAGGGTTATGATGCAAAAATACCGGTTTTTCAGTGGATACATACAGTCATCCTCTGGCAGAAGTAATCAAAAAGAGTACTTTCATTCTTACTGGATTAAATATGAACCATGTATAAATAGGTACGACCTAATACTAGTACTGACAGTGGAAGACTCGTTAGCCATTCTAGACGAGCGAAAAAATCACTTAACTACTCGCCAGTCAGAGTCATGTAAGCACACCGCCAGAGTTAATTTGTGACCCCCTTTGCCACGTAGTTCAGCATCGCGCATTGGAATGTGACAAGTAGACATGCAGGAAATCTTAGCCTGAATATGGATTGATTTGATTTTATTCTTCGCCAAAGAAAAATAAAATTTGGGCGTATGGGCTACATATGAGTAACCCGATCGTGGGCAAGCAGTTCGGGGGCCTAACCGGTTATGTCGGCGCAGAGAAGCCGGAAAGAGGCAAATGAGCGAGCCCTGAGGGATCGACCGGCGCTGGCGCAACCTTGTCCAACGGTTTATCGGGCTTAACTCCTCCGCCGTGTGCCAGGCCGGGAAAGGCGGTACGGCACAAAAGCTTGTACAGAGCATGGGGTAAGTTGCGCGATGTCCGGTATTTCATGGCATGGCCCTCACGTTATGTCGCAGGCAGTTTTTCCGGCATGCCTTTGGCGCAGAGAGGATCAACGGGAAGTTGTCAAACGTGTCTGCAATCTGGGGGGTCAAGCCATCACCAAGACCGGGCGGGAGGGACGATCCTTGCCAGATCGGTGGCTGATCTACGAGTGAAACCTTTGCCAAGCACCCTGATGAGTTTGAGGGGTGGAAGAGAGGGGCCGATGGTGCAAAACTGGGCAGAATCGGAGGATCGATTGGTGTGACTGGTCTCTGTGTTTCTGTGTGTGCGTGTGTGGTGTGGAAATGCACATCGGCTCTGATCAAGGATCTGCGAGTCCTGCGCGGGGGGATGTTTTGCTCACACTTGTCTCTCTCCAGTAACCAGATTATTGTGGATCGCACGTTGGCCATTGCTCAGCGGAGCCTCCAAGGCACGAGATAACCGAGCATGTGAAGACCCTAGGCAATTTGCCCTTTCTTTTCTTGCATGATACCGAGATACTAGACCAAGCGGATGATGTTAGTACAGTATGCAGTCTCCGGAACTCGGCCAAGTGTGCGTGTTTGCATCTGCAGCCTCGCTCATCAACGCGAGAAATCCTCCCCCCCCCTCCTCCCAATAATGTTAGGGGCCGTCTCAGGGACTCGTGTCTCCATGCATGCCCCAGGTCTGGTGCAAGGATGACCCCGCAGCCAACGCTGTAGGGAATGATCGACGGACCTTGAGATAGCAGGTTGATACTGATATGTACGATTGAAACTTGACCTTGAAGATTCGAGGATGCAAACGGGGGAACAAGCCGTGTCAGATCACAATGCCGCGGGACTCCGCGTATTGTGGCTTTGCACAGCCTTAAGGGGACCCTTTTTTGAGGGAATGCAAGACGGGAAGCAAATGGAGCTAAGGCGAGGTATAGCGCTGCAGTAGGGGCAAATCAAAAGTGAAGAGACAGCAGAGCAATCAATCATGCGATGTTGACGAGGGAGCTGTAAATACATATGAGTATGAGGGTGCTTAGAGGGAAGGTACCACTGGTACGTACAGTCCCAAAAGTGGAAACTGCAAAGGTTTTTCTATTTGGGGAACGCCAGCCCTATTCGCAGTATAGGTATACCATATAGTACTATACAGTATATAACTGTCTATATTAAATACTAGTGATACTTCTAGGAATGAAATTTAGTTAATTAATACCTTAATACCTCTGTTACTCTAATTAATACTAAACTGAATCCAGCATTGATGTTAGTCCTCTACCCTGATGGTAAAAGCGGCAGGCGGCCCCTGCCGCTTTTGCGATGATCGACGGCGTATCGTACGGTAAAGACCGATTCTTTCGTCTTCCTCTTCGTCTTTGGTGGCTCTCAACTTCAAGGTCACTTTTCACTTTTCCCCTTCTCGTATCATCTTTACCCTTCCTTTCTCTACCTGCTCCCCCTCCCTCCCCCCCCACTCCCCTTCCTTCCTTTCCATTTTTCCTACTCTCTCTATTCCTCTTCTTCCCTCATCTTGACCTGGGATAATTCCCTTTTTACCCTATTTCGTCCCTCCGCTCCCTGCCTGGTCCCGGTCCTTGGCCTCATCCCGCCAAGCTGACTCGGACCTGGGTTTCGGGCTCCCTCGTCCATGCCACGCTCATCTGCCGCGAGTAGGAAGAACCAGAGCAATCGGCACGACAATGGCCTCGTCGGTCCCGGCAAGAAAGTGACCAAGCAGAAATCCTCCGGCCATCTGAACGGCTCGCCCAGCAACGGCTCTGCCCCCGGCTCGGCCACCGTTCCCATCGATCTGTCCGCCACCCGTTCGACCAGTGATACCGCGATCACCTCGCCAACACTTGTGACAAAAGGGCCGGATGATGCCAAGGCAGATGGCAATGTGCGTGGGATGTTAAACGGACACAGCAGAGGTGGAGACATGGATTGCAGCCTGACCAACGGTGCCTCGTCGCAAAACGGCGGCATCGCCGGCTCGGCTTCTCGCAATGGCGTCTCCAAACGATCGGGTTCAAGCTCGTCAATCAATCCGCTTCAGTTCGCGTCCACCATCCTCAAGTCGTGCCCCATGTACGACACCATCGCCATCTTGATTTTTCTGCTTCAACTCCCACCAATGGTCCTAACCCTCGTCCAATTCTTGTTCGCCTCCCTCACCTTCATGCCCCCGAGTGGTGCCGCCGCCGGTTCTCTGTCGTCGAATTTCGATATCTTTCAGGGCCCTGCCGGAACCCCCTCCTTGGGGACGATGATCGCCATGGATGGCTTCTGCGTTCTTTTCTGGGGCCTCTTTATGTGGAACTGGGCTCAAAACTTTGCAATTGATTTAGCCCACGTTCAAGTCGCCATCACCCTCGGCGGCGGAGGCTCTGGGAAGAACGGCGGGGTCAATGGCCTGTGCGTGGGCATTGTTCTGCTTCTTCACATCGTGCGCAGCAAAGGCATACAGGAATTTGTGATAGGCCACCTCGCATCTGCCAAACTCGTCAGCCCTGATATTCTTTCTCAATTTTCAAATCTTTTACCCGCCGAATTCCGACGTTCCGCATCACAATCATCTCCGAGTTGGCTAAGGAGCCTTCTCGCTGTTCATATATTAGCACAGGCCGGAACTGCGATGGCGAGACGGGCCATGGCTAAGAATCGGTCCCCGCCCCACAAAAGGGTGGGAAACGTGGGGATACTGAGGCCTCCGCCGGATCGCAAGCCCAGCATGATTCAGCTCTAGAGTCGGCTGCCAGTCTTTCATCTTCTCTCGTCGGCCCCGATGGTCAATTTCTCAAGGATGGAAAAGATCGGCTTACTTCAGCTAAAAAACGCAGGAGACAAGCTAATCAAGTTCGAAGCCGTCAACCATTCTGGGCCGCCCTCGCTAGCACCAAGGTCACCGTCATGCGGGAGTACGAACACTCGCGAGCGTCTTCGAAAACCACCCGTGGTCTCACGATGACTGAGGACGATCTCCAGGGCGTCTCTCTTGATGATGGATTAGTATGGATTACAGATGTGGACAGTGCTACGATAAAGTTCGCTGCTGGTGATCTCGTCGATGATACCGCAGTGCCAAGCTCTTGTGGAAATGGTCAATTAGATGGCGATATGGAACCGTTTTATGTATGCGTCAATGGGGCGCTTTGGGCAACTGCTACGATTTGCAAGGTCTCGGAATCCTCCAATGGCCCGAGTATGGTTCAATGGCGGGCGAGATCTCCGGACTTGCTCCCAATTGTGCATATACTTGCTCTTTTGTCCGCAGCGATACCGACGAGGAAATATGTGTCATGAGCGTCAAAACTCCTACGGCGGCTGATACAGAGCAAGGTGAGTTTACACGGCATGATTCTCCTATAATTAACCAAAGTCTAACAAACATAGTAGCTGTTTCTGTAGTTCCCGCGCCTCCGCAGCCGCCTTACCGACCCTCATCCCCGACGACAACGCTCAAAAACTCCATCATCAATGCCGAAGCCAAATTAAACGAAAAGCGCTCCCGACTCAAGAAAACCAAGAACGACCACAAGCTTCTCATCTCTAAAATTCGGAGGGAACTGGACAATTTCAACAACCGTCTTCAGAGTGGAACGGACGAAAATCGCCAAAAGCAGCGTTCGCTCCAACTCGAGCGGAACATTCGACAAACGGAAGAGGCAACCTCAGCCTTGGAGGTGCAGTTGGATAATATGGAAAATGTTCCCGAAGAAGAACTCGAGGAGTGGTCTACACACAAGACCGAATTTGAGCGACAACTGGACCGATTTAACGCGACAAAGGAAGAACTCACCGAGGCTCGTCTTGCTGCCGCTCAACAGGTGTCGTCTATGGAGCAAGAGCTCAACCTGGTCATTCAGAAACGCGAGCGTCTTCAAGGCCGTCGTACCCGAGTCAACGAACAGTACGAGCGCATCATCTCCGCCAATGCGCAGGGACTAAATGAAAGAGAACGTCGTGCGGCCGAACAATTTGCCCGGGAACAAGATCATGCCAAGTTAGAGCTCAATTTCCAAGAACAGTTCAGCAGCATCAGTCAATCTGTTCAGGACTTCCAGCTACGCACCAGTCAGCTTTGGCAGCAAGCGTCCGCTATCGAACAAACGATTCAGCAGCAACAGCAGCAGATGCTTCTGGACTCTGGCCCCCTCACTCCCGAGGGCAATCTTCCAGGCACGAATCCTTTGCTCGAAACCCACAATTCGTCTCTGAACTTGTCGACTACTTCCGCTCCGAATGGCCGGGCGTTACTAGCCCTCAGCTTCCCTCCAGCCAAGTCCAGCCCTCTGCATAGCTCGTCTCCGGTCCACGCCAACTCGTCAAATCCGACCAGCCCAACGTACGATGCTTTCATGCCCCATTTTCCGACCTCTTCGCCTGGCAATGGTGCCTCCTACTTCGCTTCCGATACCCACCGAGATCGTTCGTTCTCTAACCGCTCAACCCGTAGCAGCCAGTATGGCTCCGAGTATTTCGATGCTCAGCGGATGCCTCCCCTCCAGCTCGAGCTGGCCGAACTGCTTTCCGAAAAGCAACGGTCTGGGTCGAATGAAAATGGCTTTCTCCAGGGCGGTCGCCCTTCTTTAAGTCCTTTTCAGCGAGCTGCGAGTCGAGGCAGTGGGGCTGATAGCGGGAGCGGTGGTACCAGAAGTGGAAGTGGCAGCCCAGGGTCGGCTCGAGATTGAGACATTTGGCATCTATCAAACAGCCGTCGGATGCTGACAATCTTTTGTCTTGCCCTTGACTGATTGGTTGATTTCTCGGTTTTGTGCGTCTTCTAAATAAATGGCTTGTCTGATCTTTGCACCTGTGCTTCCCCATCCATCCGGTTGGATCATCGTTCGCCTTTCGTGATTTACCCATTCTTCGTTCACATATTTGTCCTCACCGGGTTGCTTCGTGATGGTCATATTATGATGACTGTTCGACACTCAACTAGTATCTCGCGGTGAGATGTATGACTTGGTTAGATCAGGTTCCAAGGTTTGCAGTGAGATGAATCGCAGTTCTGTTCCTAGAGACTAAAAAGCTTATTCTTCGTTCAAACACCCTACTTACTCTAGTAGGTATCACTAGTAGCGTAGAGTTCTAGTATATTTACTAAGAACGGCCTAACGTATTTGTACTAGTTGTGCGATTGCTAGTTACTACTAGTAGTAGGTTCCAAGGTTCTTGATGAATCAGTAACTAATTATGCGATTGATGTCTATATCTTGTCTGTTTTATAGTTATTCCACAGTATAGTATGTACAGTAAGAAGTCTAGCCCGTCCGAAGTAAATAATATGTACAATCCCACCAAATCTCTATCCAGGATTTTTGTTTATTTGATCAAATCTCACTCCCCATCTTCCAGAATCGCGTATTCGCATACGTCAAACACAAGTCATCCGGCGAGTTCTCACCAATGCTCTCTTGAGAGCCAGAGCCCTCAATCGCGCGGACAACAGTACCCAGCACGATCGAGTGATCATGTACATCGATCTTACTGGGGTGAAGTGTACATTCAAAGACGATAGGGAAGTCCACATTCCCTTGTTCTGAGCTTTGAGCCCGCCGTCTTAGTAGCGGGAGCGGTCGTTCTTGACTTGGTCCCTGGCCCGGGTTTGCGCTCAAGGCGCCAAACTCGAAGTCTCCGTGTCCGTTCAACATGCTTGCCAATGTAGTATTTCCCTTTGAAAAGTCTCTGGCAAGCCTAGCAGTAGCCGGGCCGGGAGCGAGGAGGTGCACAAGGAAGCGGCCGGAAGATAGAAGGGCGTTCAAGGTTTCGGATGGTCGTCGGACATTAAAGGATATGACGGGGTGTGGAGTAAGCGTGACGGTACTGAAGGAGGAAACAGTCATTCCGCGAAAAGAGGTTGTGTCTGACGGTCCAGTGGGATCGGTTGCTGTTATAATTGCGACGGGGTATGGGACTTGGCGCATGAGGAGACGAACTTGTTCCGATATTGAGGACGCGGGTGTAGAGGAGAGGGATTCGGACCGAGATGAGGATATACTGGATTCATTGTTTGAAGAGCTTTCGCTGGGAGACTGGGAGGCCTGGCTTTGCAAAGCTGTAGTGTTGCTAAATTGTCGCCGGGATGGGTGTTGACGGTATGACGAATGTTGAATATGAACGGCAAAAGAGGATCGTGACGAGCGAGAGGTCAATACTGCAGAATCAAATGCTCCTACTCCGTACCATTAGCATTATTCAGAGCAGATATCTCGGCATGGGAGCTTATAAACTCACCTCCGAGTCCTCTCCGCATCGCAACTGGTGCGAGTGATAGCTTCATTGTGCTTGGTGGGACAGGTGTAGCTATCTCCAACCGGCGGGAGGGTAGCAAATAAATGATCGTGAAAACAAGAATCTCTTCGCTCACTGCGTAATCATGTCGAAGAGGCTGACTGCGAGTTATTGGAGGAAATGCGCGACAGCAGAGGTGTTGCCCGCAAAAAATCCCCGTGTTGATTACGTAATGTGTATCGCCGATAATTTCTCTGCTTCGGAAGTTGTATAACCTCAACCCGCCGCAACTCCGCCCTCGCCTCCTTAATTGTGTCCCAGCTCCACAGCATACTTCTCTAGGGCTGCCTATCTCGCAATCCCTCGTATTGACTCGCTTTGCTCGAGGATACGCCACCCACAATGTCCCTGCATACCTCCCTCCGCCGCACCGCGGCCACGGTATCGAGCACAACATCCACCATCCTGCCCAGCCAACTCCCGACCTCCCAATCTAAAGCCACAACTTTTGTCTGCTCCCAATGCCGTCACGCTTCACTCCTGCGCCGCCCGAAGCGCCCATACACCTTCACTCAGCTCATCACCCTCACCGACGGCAGCGCCTTCACGCACCGCACCACCTCGCCCGCCCCCGTCTATCGTTCCACCCGTGACACGCGCAATTCCCTGCTCTGGAACCCGTCTAGCAGCAAGCTGATGAATGTTGAAGACGATGAGGCCGGTCGCCTCGCGGCTTTCCGTGCGCGTTTCGGTCGCAGCTGGGATGCGAGCGCTCCTCCCGCGGACGCCCCGGCCGATGCTGCGCCCAAGGATCCTGCGGCCGCTAAGGCCAAGGAGGAGGCTGCTAAGGCCCAGGCTCAGGCTGAACAAGAAGAAGAGGATAATTTGCTTGACTTGATTAGCTCCTTTGGCCAGGAGGAGAACCAGGGCTCTGGAAAGAAGAAGAACTAAGTCGGAGGGAGAATTGTAAAGATTTGCATCTTGTGTGATTAGATTGGTTTTGGCCCTCCAATTTCTATGGGCTGGGAGTTGGGATCTTGTTTTTCTGTCTCAATTGTTCTTGTATAATATACATATGTCTGCGACAATGCATGGATGCCATTATAGGTACCATTTCTATCGAATTTCTTGCTTCGACTAGGTAGGAGAACTTGGAACCTTGGATAATTTCCATTTCCCAGTTATTTGGGGGAATATAAATCCCAAGCATAAAAAGAGCGCCTTAGTAATCCTAACCCTTGGTATCTTCCGAGATTCAGCTGTGGGAAGTCTTGTGTTTTGGTCAGAGCCGTTATTCCTACCTACTAGTACTATTTACTAGCAAATTTTCGAAAGATCCATAGAACCATCTTTCTCAACGAACTAGTTCATTTCCTCTACATAAACAATAAGACTAGTGAAGCCTATAGCTTGCTGCCTTCGAGCTGTATACTAGTACTAGTACCAGAGCTCGATTCTGGAACTGTCTTTGTGCTCTTCGAGGCTTGCGCTTGATCTGAGGCTTCTATTACCTCCACCTGCTCAAGCGTAGCTGCGAATGCAGCTTCGACATCATGTTCTGATAACCATTCCGTATTTGGCCTGCTTCTCATTCTGGCAACCAACGCCTCATCCTCCTCTTCGGCTGAGGTAAACTGCGCGCCTCTTTTATCGATTTGATTGTGAACAATGCGCAGTATACGAGCTGTGTGCGGCTGCCTCGTGTTGCTGTATAATCCCAACGCCTTCTTGATATTCTCACTCGAGAAAGTCTGTCCGGAAGTTTGGGCGCCGAAGACATGCCGAAAGGCAAGGCCAAGAGCAAGAGTATCATCCAATGCCAACGAGCCCCCAGCAGCGAAAGCCCCCCCCATGGGCGTGTGCGGCATCGCCGATGAGAGTGACCCGAGAATCAAACACCCAGGTCGAGAGAGCATCTCCAGCGAAGTTGGGATATAAATTGGTATGGGGTGTGAGTTCAGTTAGGGCTTTGATCGTTGGATTCCAGTTCTAGTTTGGTGAGCCTCAGATCACAGGGACTCGGGAGAGTGATATAGTAACATACCTTGTACTTCTCCCTTAGAAACTCAACATTTCCACGTTGATTCCATGCAATGCTGTTTTCGAGCTCTTCTTCCGTGCGGGGGTCATCGTAAGCCCCGACTGTTGTATACTGGTCCTTGCCTGGGTTCATTAGCAGACTACCTATATGCGGGATTGTTGAGGTACTATACCAAGTCTAGAGGCAAAGAAATTATCTCGTGGTCCCCACTACTCTCATAGTCAGCAACTATTTAATGGAATAACACATGCTCTTATGACTTACCCAATGCATGGAGTCGGAAGGTAGATTGGGGATTTTCCCTTCCACCAAAGATGCGTCAAATGTTGATCTCATAAAGACCTTTCCACTGAAACGGAGCCTGTAGTCAGGCAAGAATGATTTCCTAACAGCCTAGAGCCAATATTAGTACAGTTTTGGCGTCTGATTTGTCAATGGATTTTTACCGATCGAATTCCATCTGCCCCGATCAAAACATCACCTTGCACACTACTCCCATCCTCGAAATGCAGAGTGACGCCATTTTTATCAGCCTCCGCATGGATTATCTTCTTCCCTAGATGTATAGACTCTCTGGGAACATGTTCAAGAAGAGCTGCATGTAGATGGCCTCGATGGAACCGAGTGGTATGATGGCGAGGGTTGGGGACATTGGTGTGAGTGTCGACCGAGATAACCTGGTCGGTCTTCCAGTGACTAAAATCATGATGATAAGTCAATCTATACGCAATTAAATGATACACAATCATCATACCGAAAGATTTGTGGTATGCCACTTGGTCCTCTATAACCAAACTCATCGGTGAGTGCTTTGTCCACTCCTAGCTTTTCCAAGGTGCGCATTCCCTAACGAGAACCATATCCATTAGAACAAAGCGCTATTCAGAGAGATGGAATCATACATTTGGGCTGAGTGCAATACTGGCTCCGATTTCCAGCAGCTCGGGTGCTTGCTCGTAAAGTTGGATGTCTATGTTTGTGATCGAAGCGATTTGTGACAATGAGATCGCTGTCGCAAGCCCCGCAATGCCGGCGCCGGCGATTATGACCCGTAGAGTATCCTGCCTCTCACCCATTTCAAGATAGAAGCTGTTTCACTTTTGAGGAATCAAGTAATATCGCGAGATAAATTCAATGTTGTCGATGTCTAAGTCTGATAAATTAAATAGCTATCGCGACAGTAAATGCCGAGCACGTCAGCAGTGCATCTTCTCCGCAATTACGGCGATGGCGACTTGATGCGTGCTTTTTGCATCTCGTGACGTATTTTCAAGGCACTTATGAGAGCCCGGCAAACGGCTTGTCGTTTCCCGTGCTTGAAAGTCCTGGCGGAGGATTTTCTCCAATAGAGTATGTCTTTATGTGTCGGAATCTGTCCGGCATGGGGATGAAGGCGAAGGCTTGGAAGAACATTGCGCAATAGCTGTCGTTTTCTAGAGCATTCATCTAAAATATTGACATTTCCCCGAAATAAACATTCCAACGTTCGGAGTAATTATTTGTGGCAGAAAATTTTCGCATTATTCAAGAAGTAATATACGTTTCTGTCATGAGTTCTGGGTCATCCGATCATGGTGTCAAAGCCTCAGCGCAGGCAAAGGAGGAAAACGAAAGCGAAAGCGAGCTAAACACAGCGCCGAAAGTCCCAGATCAGTTTGCCGATGAGAGTTTCAAGCTCTTTTCCAAGATTCAAGTGGAGGAGCCCACACCCCAAGAGGCTCTACAAATTCGAAATAAATGCCTATGGCGGATCCTGCCTTTTCTATGCATTGGATATCATCTCATGTATGTGGATAAACAGACAGTAAGTAAAGCGCGGGTTTCCATATCAGGGGTTATCAGCTAACTTTGCGCAGTTAGGCAGCTCAGCAATTCTTGGAATAATGCAAGATGCGCATTTGGATTCAAATCAATACAATTGGCTCTCCTCGATCTTCTATTTTGGATATCTGCTGGCAGAATGGCCTCAGAATTGGGCTTTGCAAAGATTCCCTGTGGCTAAATGGTTGGCGGCAAATTTGATCATATGGTAAGTCAATACCCTCCTTGATAGGTCTGATGATATTAACAGTACTTCAGGGGTGGAATAACATTGCTACACATACCTTGCAACAGCTTTGCCTCTCTGTTCGTGGTGCGCTTTTTCCTCGGGGTAGCCGAGGCGTGCATCGTGCCAGCATTCTTGCTTTCAATGTCGATGTTCTTTACATATGGAGAGCAAGCGGTCATGATGCCAATTATGTGGTCAATTGGAAACTCAAGCCCCATAACTTCTGGACTTCTATCGTATGGTGTGCTTTGGATCAAAACAGGGGATTTTTCACCGTGGAAATGGTTTATGGGTTTGGGTCCCTATTTCTCTTTTAATTCACAAGCACTAATACCATCTACCAGTGATAACTGGGGTCTTAACGGTGATATTTGGCATCGCAGTCTATTTCCTATTCCCAGACAGCCCTCTCCATGCCAACTTTCTCACCTATGAAGAGCGCGCGAAGGCTATCCTGCGGATTAAAGAGAATCACTCTGGAATCGAACAGAAGCTTTTCAAGAGATATCAGTCAGTACCCCAAATTTCGAGACTCAAGTCACCACAACTTTACTGACTGGCTATAAAGATTTATCGAGGCGCTGAAAGACCCCAAAACATGGCTGTTTTTCTTGCACGCTTGGTCACAAGAAATGGCAAACGGAATAACTAACCAGTATTCACTCATCATCAACTCTTTCGGCTTCACTATTCTTCAGACAACGCTCCTGGGCTGTGTTACCGGTATAGTATCGTTTTTCTCCCTTATATCAGCTGCAATTGCTCTATATTATACAAAGGTTAGTTAAATTCTGTCTGGAAGACCGAATTGTCAAGCTAAAAACAAATAGAACTCCCGTGCCTGGATATCTTTGATTGCCTACATTCCAGGCGCTCTTTCCAGTATCCTCCTTCTCGGTATGTACTTATTTGAGACTCATACCTGGGCATTAGACATTTCTCTAATATTGCAACACAACAGCTTTACCTTGGTCCAATCGCTGGGGTCTAATTAGCGGTATCTGGATTCGATCTACTGTTGGGATTCCCTATGCCGTCGTGATGATCTGGGCGGCAAATGCATCAGCTGGACATACGAAGAAAACGACAGTCATTGCATTGTATCACATCGGCTACGGCCTGGGAAATATCATTTCTCCTCAGCTTTTCCGGCCAGAGTGGAAGGTCAGTAGAATTCGAGCCTTGGAACAGATCCCTATGAGCATATACTAACCAAGAAGCCAGCCTCGGTATAAACCAACTTGGATTATTTTGCTTGTCGTATGTCTTCATCCCCCTCTCTATATATAAACAGATTATTAAGTCGATTTCAGGTGGCTTGCATCCTTCCATCTATCATCATTGGAATTCTCAGGTTCTACTTGAGCCAGGAAAACAAGCGTCGCGATAAGCTTCAGGCTGAAGATCAAGTTACCAGTAATGGCATTATCGAAACGGTTGATTCTGAAGGTGGAAAGGTATCCCGCGTCGTGGACAATAGTCAGATGGATTTGACTGACAGAGAAAACTTGACCTTGTAAGTTTTGATCTGGGCCCCTAACTACCAGATACCCGTTACTAATGAGGCACTAGCCGATATGTTCTTTAGCTGCATTGAGGGAGAATTTTGATTTGGGTGTCTCTATTTGAACCGACTGACTGTAGCAGTAATAGTAACAACCAAATGACTATCATGCCGTGCTTTCGCAACGGATCCTCAAATGGCTTTCCAGTATTATCGTTTGTTTATTTTGTTTGTGCATGGGAAGTTCATCACGTAACTGTTGATTAGGTAGCAAAGTATTAAAATATCATAGAACTCCGGGTATATGTCCAATCCAATCCCCAGTTCGGTATCCGTCTAGCTCAGCTCATGCACCACAGCTGCGCGAGTTGCAGTATGCTGAGACGAGCCAATTTCATGAACGGAGTTATACTCTGTTGACATCTCTGATGCCTTCCAAGTAGAGCCTTCTTGTGATTCAGAGTGCGCAGGAGGCGAGGATCCAATCTCATGAACAGGCCTATAGTCCGCTGACATCTCCGAAGCCGGCAAAGCAGAGTCTGTTTGAGATGCAGGCTGCGTCTGAGGCGGCAGGCTTCCTTCAGACCAGCCGGGTCCCTTGTCCTCGGCGGGAGAGTCTTTTTTGAACAAAGCCATAACCTTCTTTCGAAACACCAATAGAAGGATTATTGCGATTAATGCGACACATCCCACGACTATTCCAGCAATTTCCCCGCTTGATAGCCCACTGTCCGAGCCACTAGATGCGCTGTCGCTGTTCGAAGTTGAATTGGCGGCCGAGCCGGTGCTAGTGCTTGTTGCGGTGTGGTGGGTACTGGTATCTGCGAAATCGGATAAGTCAGACATTTGGTAACGAGGTGGGTTGAGAATCCGAATGAGAGTAAGGACCTACCTGTTGTGGCAGATATTGATGCAGTGGCGGTAACTTCAGGCGCGGCGGTGGAGGAAGCGAATCGAGCAGGAAGGGATCGATAGATACTATCGGCACCCCAATTAACCAAACAGCCATATTTCAAGATCGCTTCTTCTGCGTCAGAACCCTCCGTTGGAAATATCTTGTAGGCACTGCAGGAATAGAATGTCGGGCTATGTCGGTCAGAAATCGGATCGGAGTGAATAATATGATCAACATGAAACGTACCACCCTGCTTGGAGGCTATCTTCGTAAAGTAATGTTGCACCATCACATCCTGTCGGCATGGGGACTGAGCTTGACGGGTTGTAGCAAGCGCCATACGTGCTACTTGTGTAGAAGGTCTCGGTCGATCCGCAGACGATGGGCTCGGCTAGGGAAGGTCAGCCAGAGCCACTCTCCTGAGTACGGGAGGGATAGAGTCATTACTGACGAGTTGTTTGCAGGTACCATCCCTGAAAATTGTCGCCGGTACTATATCCTGAGGCGACAAAAGTTGTAGTGGCCGCTGTAGAAGCCGTAGCTGCGGGAGCTGGTGACATATCGCGTGACTGCTTTCAACAAGCGATAATATCACACTCGGCTGTATTATTCCTGCTTCAAGAGAGCCAGGGACTCGCAGAAATAAGATCGGCACAATGGAAGGTAACCGGGATGCTGGCAAAAGGTAAACAGAACCAAGCTTCAAAGATTGTTGGGTTTCAGGGCCGGGGGTCTCGAGCGTTTCTTAGCCGCACAGTCGCCAAGTTGGAAAAGAGTAAATGACAAGGCGAATCCTAGGATGCGGGCACTGGCATAAAAATACGCTCTAAGCCACTAAACAAAGCTGCCCAGGAGGCGCTAAGGGTATCGAAGCGCTCGCAATGGCTAGATAAGAGCGCCAGTGGGTTCTATACTTGCCAGCAAGCCCCTGATCCACAAATTGATCCAAAATCTCACTCCCACCGTGACCCAATCAAGGGTTTAATTTGCTTGGAGGAAATCCATTTGAGGGTTCAAAATCGTGGAGATCTACTCCTGGTGCAGTTTAGCGTTTCTCAAGGCTCGTAGTAGTGGAGACTCTTCTCTTCATGCCGGCTTATTTCCGAATGACCTGGAGGGTCGTTAAACTATTTGCGACATTTGTCAGTATTGGGTTGGAATTCAAAGCACAGAGAATCACCTGCAGAGTAATAAATAAGCTGGCAACTGAGCGCGCAGCTTACCACTACTTTATTCATAGCAATATCTCCCTCAAAGATATTTAATCTTGTTTTGATGGTGCGACATCGGGCGTAAGCAAGCAAAACGGCAAAACGCGGGCGGAGCCGCGGCGGAGCAGCCAGAAATGATTCAAGTTCAAGTTGCTTATTCTTTGTCTGATCTTCGCTTTGCAGCTCTGTTCATGTTGGAGTATCAGGGCCATTTTCTGCCTACTAGTATCCACTGCGACGATCTAAAGATATATAGTCAGTCAGTCCGACTTGGAGTTTGTACCCACAGAGAGGTCGAAGTTTATCTAGAATGGAGCTGTGTCCACTACTAGTATTTGTCTTGCACATGGATGATTGGGTCCCGGTTGTAATTTCAACCACAACGGGCGAACATTGGTATTTGAATGGATATTCTGCAACACAAATCGGAGGGAGAAAAAGGGAAGAGGGCAACTCCATAGCTCGCGCTGGGGAGAATCATTGACCTAAGGGAGGGGAAGAGAGAGAAAAAGAAATGCCGAACGAAAAATCCCAGTGAGGCTACAAGATTGCTGGATAATACATGGACGGGCATGGGAGTGAGAATGCCAGGTTCGAAATTGATCAGGCGTTATCCTCAGCTCCAAGTGAGGCTTCGGTGTTCGGGGCGGGGGACTCAAGTGCAGCAGTCTCGCCAGCCACGCCCTCTGTAGGAGGGACGTAATAAGGGACACCGTCTTCACCAGCATCCAATTGCAAAAGGAAAGTTTCCCAAAGCTCAATCAACTGCAAGCCTTGTGTTAGTATAAAGGAAGTTCGAGGTCCAATGTGCGATTGCTTACCTCCTTTTGAGCCTCCACAGCAGACTCAAGGAATGTTTCTACGCCAGACTTGAAATCCTCCACCTTCTCCTTTTCAAATCGTTGCAGTTCATTGCGCATTAGGCGCCCCATATCCTCAAATAACAATCGGGTTTGGTGAACCTTTCGCTCCGCATCGGCCACATCAGCATTTATTTGGTTCAAACGATCCTGCTGCGTCTTTCCCTGTCGGAGAAGCTTATCCTGTGTATTCTTGCGCTTCTGTAGATCCGACTCGGCGGTATGCCAGCTGTGGAAGGCCTTCTGTCTTTGGGAGAAGGCAGTCTTCACACTGCCGATGAGACGAATATACTCATCAATGGTGATTCCAAGTGTCAGGACATCCTGCTGAGCCTGGCGATCATATAGTTCTCTAATTCGTAGCTGCAGATCCGAAAGACCTTCCAAAGGAGCGGAGAGGGCCGGAGAAAGCTCAACGGCAGAGAGGGCATGAAGTGAGCTCGAGAAGTCGCCTGCGGCTTCGGCAAGCCCCTTTCTTTGTATAACCACAGTATCCATTGATTTCATCAGGGCTTTCAATTGATTCTCGAGTGCGTCCAGGTAAATTTTGCGATCATGGAACCACTAGCGCAAGTCAGCAGGTTTCATCTTGTGTCAATAGGCTTAATTTACTTACGTCGTCATGTTCCACAAACTTGCCTCCTCCGCCGACATTAATTCCGAAAGAGCTAAACATGCCCTTGCTTTGGCCAAGGTCGGGCTCTCGGTTCTCCTTGTTCTTGACATCGACGTTGAAGGCCTCACTCTCGAGGAATATCTTTAAATCGGAATCATGTTGGAGAATTGGGTGACCGGCAATCTTGTTCAGCATGCGCTCCAGCGCGGCTCTGCGGGATTCGACGAAGTTGGTATCAAATCGGCCCACGGCTTGTTTCTCGGGCGGAGGAGCAACAACCACACCAGGGTTGCTGTTGTGCAAGGAGTTGTAGAGCCAAAGGAAATCACGGTATCGGCGGGTGACAGCAAACTCTGGCTGACGGTATCCCTTTGAAGATGTCTATGAAGCAGTGAGTTTTGCTGTAAATCATATGTTGAGTGCGGGGAAAGGAGCGTCTAAATACCTTTGTCCGAACTTGATAGACAATGTGGCTACTTGTCAGATCCCCGACCTTGTGCGGGTCTCCAACGCTGATATCGAACGTCGGCTTCGCCGCCTGTTCAATGCTCACGCTTGGTTGTGTCTGGCGCTTCGGCCCCTCTGCCTCGGAAGGAGGTTGTACTGGCGGAGGTCCTCGAAATCCGGCACCATCTTCTTCCAAGTTACCAGATTCTACCAAGCCAGTTCCGCCAAATGCTGGAGGGAAAGTCGTAGGTGGCGGGGGGCTGCGTCCAGCAATGGTTTCTTTCTGGGGGGGAGCCGGAGCTTCATCGGTGGGTGTCGCGCTGGTCTCGGACGGAGCTTCTCCTAGCGGGCCAAGGGGGTCCACAGTATCATCGACAGCTTCTAGACGAGTCGCTTGTGCGCTGATTTTGCGTGTTCCTCGTGGGCCGCGACGACCCGGAGTACGGACCTCGCCGCCGCTGATTGACGATGCGGCCTGGGCGGGAGCTGCAAGGAGTGAATGGTTAGCGGAGAGGCCCACGAAAGCAAGAATGGCCTAGATAAATACATACAGCTCTCAGAGTTATCGGGCTTGGAGGTAGTCGGGCTGGTTACAGAGCGCGAAGGCTCATCTGTAGTCTGGGTTAGAGCGCAATCCAACAGAGCTGGGATCATGACTGCCTACCACCCCATGGGGAGTCACCGGCATCGAGGTCCATAGCAGCCGGGTTGGTACAAGTATAACGCGGAGAATAGTATGGGGTATCGAAATGGTTAAATCAGACGTCAGGCATCAATGTTCAATGGAAACTGGGAAGAAAGGGTGCGTAGGTGGGAAGCTGGCAGTTCGAGTGGAGGATCCGCGCACTTAGTCACTCACGGGATCTTCGAACCCCCCCCAAGCTTGTCCGGGGCAGCTTTCCCCTCCCACTACTTCCGAGTCCACTACTCCCCCAATCCCCATTGATCAAGAGAATTTGTGCGGCTGGCCTCATATAATCAAATCACCTGCTTACATATACAAGTAATAAATTTGATGGTCTCGAAAATGAGGACTACTAAGCCAAGTGGAGATTCAAAGTATAGGATCTGAAAACAATTCATACGTCACATCATTTCTCGTTGTACCTCATCTCTATACTACCTCACATTATCTTTTTCTATTCATGATTTCTTCAGGGAAAAGTCCGCAGCATAGTCTCGTCGGATCTATTTGACCCAAGGCAGGCCAAGCTTGTGCATCTCCACGGCAAGCTGGAATAGATAGTCCAGAGACTCGCACTGAGTCTTTGCCTTGGCGACATTGTCACCCCAGACATAACTACAAGCAAATATTAGCGGTGTATGGGGGGTGGAGGATCGGATAGGGCCAATTCTCAGCATAAGTTTCACTCACATTCCGTGTCTTCGCACCAGCACAGCGTAGGTGTCGGGGTACTTGTTCATGGCAGCCTCCAGGCCGCTGGTCAAGTCCTCCTCAAATGCCGTGTTGTCAATGATGGGGATGCTCAGAGTATCGTGATATCCGTGCATTCCCTTGCCCTTGCCCTTGGGAATACCCTTGATCTGTTCGATGTTGCTAATCTCAAAGCAAGCGTCGGGGCCCTTCTCGCGCTCAACCAGCAGAGTCACCAAAACGGCCCATTGGGAGTGAGTATGAATGCAGCAGCCCGCACCGTGCTCAAAGGCAGTGAGGAACAACGGCGTGCAAGCGGATGGGTTCAGCTTAAGAGGCTTGCGGATATAGTTGCGCTCAGTGGCGGGGTACTTGGGGGTCGGCCATTGAATCACGAAGATGTTCTCAGACTTCATGAGCTCCTTCTGGACACCGGATGGCGCAATAAAGATGTGATCGCCATGACGAATGGAGGTCTAATGAGAGTCAGTGGGGGTTGGTTCTTTCTGTTCTTTTCTATTTGATACTCCCCCGCCTTGGCGGCTTGAGCAGAAGAGACTTACACCTCCGCCAGTTCCAGTGACCCAGCCCCAATTGTAGAATCTACGGCAGAGATCCGGAATCAGGTTGGCCGGGTGTTCGGGGTCGGATGACTGGACCAAGTGGTCATTGTTGTTGGCGACGGGCGCAACGGCCTGATCAGCGCCGCACATGGTGAGCTCGGAGGGGGATGTCTCGGGTTTGGCAGGGATCAAAGGGTACCCAGGTGTGGCAGGGGGTGGTCGCAGGGCGAAAAGCAAAAAGCAAAAGGGAGCTAGGTGGTGCAATCAAATAGCGCCAGGGAGTTGGGGACGGAAGATCGGGCGAAAGGGTGCCAGTGTCCAGGCTCTGGAGGAAAAGTGTAACCCGCGTGCTATCGCGCAATCCAATAAATGTTAGCCGGGCGGGGAATTTGCAGCTCCGCGATTACACTGAGCATGCCATGGGGGGGTTTATGGGAATTGCCCAGGTGGTAGTAATTGGGAATTGGCATTGTTAAATATAAAGATAAACTGACCCGTCCTATTAGATCTCATATTTGAAATAAATATTTATTGCATTCATAGCTGCGGATAGCTACTACTCTACTCTGTATGTAGAAAGCGATCGAAGGCGTACCTGGGGGCTAGTGCTAGTTCTGATTGGCTGGCTGGGACTCGGAGCTGCTGAAAGGCCACCTGGACCTTCGCCATTTCAACTGGGGATATATAACCTCCGCTTCTCCTCTTCCCTCATCCTACCCCTTCCCCTTCTGGTCCCGTGCGGTGCGCTTCTTTTCCCTTTCACCCCGTTGTCTGTTCATCATGCGTTTCGACGCCGCTTTCACGGCTCTGGTCTCCTCGGCTTCCCTCATGGGCTATGCCCATGCCGAGGAGGCGGAAGCTGCTGCTGATGCTTCCTCCGCCATTGAGCGGCCCACCTTCACAGTATGTTCGATCGAATTGGTCTCCACATTTCCTTTCTAACTTTCTTTCAGCCCACTGCTCTGAAGGCTCCCTTCCTGGAGCAGTTCACCGATGACTGGCAGTCCCGTTGGCAACCATCCCACGCCAAGAAGGATGACCCCAAGTCGGAGGAGGACTGGGCTTACGTCGGCGAGTGGTCTGTCGAGGAGCCCACCGTCTTCAAGGGTATCGATGGCGACAAGGGTCTGGTTGTGAAGAACGCTGCTGCCCACCACGCCATCTCCGCCAAGTTCCCCAAGAAGATTGACAACAAGGGCAAGACCCTGGTGGTCCAATATGAGGTGAAGCCCCAGAACTCTCTGGTCTGCGGCGGTGCCTACCTGAAGCTTCTCCAAGAGAACAAGAAGCTGCACCAGGAGGAGTTCTCCAATGCTACTCCCTATGTGATCATGTTCGGTCCCGACAAGTGCGGTGCCACCAACAAGGTATGTTTGCGACTGCAACGTAATTCTCTGTCTTCACCACCATGAGTAGCTGTTAATCAATCTGTCATCATCCAGGTCCACTTCATTTTCCGCCACAAGAACCCCAAGACCGGCGAGTACGAGGAGAAGCACCTGAAGACTCCCCCCCGTGGCCCGCACCAACAAGGTCACCTCCCTCTATACCCTGATCGTCAAGCCCGATCAGACTTTTGAGATCCTGGTCAACGGCGAGTCCGTCAAGGAGGGCAGCCTTCTGGAGGACTTCAGCCCTTCCGTCAACCCTGAGAAGGAGATTGATGACCCCAAGGACAAGAAGCCCGCCGACTGGGTCGACGAGGTTCAGATTGCCGACCCCGAGGCCACCAAGCCCGAGGACTGGAACGAGGAGGCTCCCTTCGAGATTGTCGATGAGGAGGCCGAGAAGCCCGAGGATTGGCTTGAGGATGAGGCCACTAGCATCCCCGACCCCGAGGCCGAGAAGCCCGAGGACTGGGATGATGAGGAAGATGGAGACTGGGTCGCCCCTACTGTCCCTAACCCCAAGTGTGCTGATGTCTCTGGCTGCGGCGAGTGGACCCAACCTTTGAAGAAGAACCCCGAGTACAAGGGCAAGTGGTCCGCTCCTCTCATTGAGAACCCTGCCTACAAGGGTGTCTGGGCCCCGCGCAAGATTGCCAACCCTGCCTATTTCGAGGACAAGACTCCCTCCAACCTGGAGCCCATGGGTGCCATTGGTTTCGAGATCTGGACCATGCAGAACGACATCCTGTTTGACAACGTCTACATTGGCCACTCCGTCGAGGATGCCGAGGCTCTTCGCAAGGAGACTTTCGACGTCAAGTTTGCCATCGAGGAGGCTGAGGAGGAGGCTTCCAAGCCCAAGACCGAGCCCACTCCTGAGTCTGGCACCACTGTCACCTTCCAGGAGGACCCCGTTACCTTCATCCGCCAGAAGATTGACTTCTTCGTGAACCTGGCTAAGGAGGACCCTGTCAACGCCGTCAAGACCGTTCCTGAGGTTGCCGGTGGTCTGATTGCTCTGCTTCTGACCTCCATCCTGATTATCGTGGGCGCCATTGGCTCCAGCAGCCCGGCTCCCGCTGACAAGGGTAAAAAGCCCGCCAGCACTGGCAAGGAGAAGGCCAGCGAGGCTAGCAGCTCTTCTGCCGACACCGGCAAGAGCGGTGCTACCAAGCGCAACACCCGCTCTTCAGCGGAGTAAAGGCGCGGCTAAAGACGAAAAGAGACAAGCCTTGAATGCACTCTCGATTGAGCATTGATATCATTTTTCCCCGCGTTTGATTCCCTATTGTTTCTTGTTGGTCAATGTAGCAATACTCTTTAGGTTAGTCGGATATCTACTTCAGAATGGAATTCCGGTATACTTTCACTATACATGAACTCAAAAAGTAGCCACCGAAGTGTACTAGTAGTGATTGAATAGAGCTGTGGATCAGTAACATTCAAGTTGTACCCAAGCGGACCAAAGCCATTGAAACGTGGCTAGTGGAAGAACTCGAATCTCTTGGGTAATATGAATTGGTCTTTCAGGTTCGTCGGCTCACCAAAGCTCGAGGTGCTCATCCCATGTGTAGTACAGTATACAGTAGGTGGAGCAAGGGAGTACCCCCAGTTACCCGCATTTTCCTCGGAATGCCATGCCTAAACCGCCTACTATGCGAATGTTGCTGCGATTGCGGCCAGCTTCGGCGATTTGAAAAGGCACTATGCGGGTGGTGATTGGCTGGAATCGCCGAAGAGGCCTTATCAGACGCAACGACCTGCTCAAAAAGGCCAACTAAACATGGGGAAAGGCGGTGGACGGTGCGCGGCTGACCTCGGGCTTGCTCCCGATGAAAGACGAGCGTGTCGGGCCTGGGGTAACCATCGGCTCAAGTCCAAGTTTATATAACAATACCCCAGCTACCACCTTGCCACTTCCCCTCATATACTACTACCCACTTCCCCTTCCCCTTTTTCTTTTATCCTTCTTCTCTCTTCCTTCTCTTCTATAATCTATCCCATTCATCACCCCTTCCTTGCCATCATGGCCGCCCGTCGGTCTATCGCCCGTACCATCCCCGCGCTCCGCTCCGCTCCCCGCACGCCCGCAATTACCAGAGCGTCCGCGCGATCTCTCACCACTGCCACTCCAATTGCGCGTTTGAACTCCCAGAGCTCTGTCTCTACCCCTGCGGCCATGTCTGCCGCTCGCAGACTGCATGCTACGGCGAAGCAGTTGGCCCCTTCCACTACCTCGGCTGCTAGCACCGCTACTGAATACCCGACCGACCACAAGCCCATTGCCAACCCCATCGACACCACCAACTTCATTGATAATGAGTTTGTGTCCTCCAAGGCCACTACCTGGATTGATCTTCACGATCCTGCCA